ATATTGAAGCAAATTTCGCATACGTGAGTTTGTACAAACATTGTAATGCATAATACGAAAACGAAATCGCTCTCTTGGACAATATAAAATACGTTACGTTAAGTGAGATCTGAACAGCTTCGAAAACACAGATTTAGAATTTTAAAGCCACTTTACGGACAGATTTTAATTCCTAAAGCGCTTTAAGCTGTCCTAGAGGCTATTTAAACTTGCAAATCCGTTCATTTGAGTTAGATCCTGATAGTGCTTGCTTCCCTTTAAAAATGCCCTTCCATTCGGAATACAAGCAACGGCCGACTATTGCATTCCGTTTGCCGCTGCGATTAAAGCAATTATTGATTTCGTATTCGCATCGACCAACGCGAATTATTCGAAATATTAGCAAATCATTCTAGAAATTTGCCGCATTGATTACTCGCGGTTACAGTCAATATGTGACTGACATTGCAAATTCGTAATATTCCTAGTATGTTCAAGACATACTAAGCAGGTTATTAAATCGTATTACTAGTGCACATCTCAAAATATAATTTCTTTTTCAAATTTAAAAAAGTGAGTTATAAAAAGAGAGAGAGAGAGAGAGAAAGAGAGAGAAGAATTGAATAATTATTACATGTTATTTTAAAACTTTTCTTCTTATCAAAAGAAATTTATTATAAAGATTATATTAAAGATAACAAAATTTTTTTGATAAAATATTATAAGTTTAAAATTTCATTCTTTGTTTATATTATCATTGTTTACTATCTATTTATCCTTTATAAAAATTTTAAATATAATTTGTATGTATTGTAGATATTAAGATAAAAGCAATTGCATTTGGTTTAGTTTCCATGCATGTGTTATGTATATAATACTATTTATATTGTATAAATTTTAAGCTTTAATTTTCTTTTAATTACGCATAAACTTAGATATTATTCTAATATTTAATTAAAATAAAAATTTTTTTAATTCCTTAGAAGTTGACAGAAGAAGTTTGTTTACAAACAACTTCTTTAAACTACTTTAAATTAAGATAAATTAATAAAGATTAGAACTGGACACACATTCATATATACTTTCATCTTTAAAAAATACGTATTTAATAGTTTAGTGAATAGTATATAAAGAAGATAAATATAGATCTTTCTCCATTTGTAATATGATATAGAGAAAGAAAAAGAAATTAGTAAACATTGATTTTCCAAATATTGAACTTTTAGTGCGCTCTCTCTCTCTCTCTCTCTCTCTCTCTCTCTCTCTCTCTCTCTCTCTCTCTTTCTCGCTTTCTCTAAAAAATTTTAATATGCAGACATCAAATACCTACTAGATCTCATGAATCGAAGAATAATTAATGAATACATAAATCCTTTCCTTCGAGAATACACTTGAAGAGTTTTACTGCTGCGAGCGAATGCGTATGTGCTTTTTACGATTTTACTGCAGTATTTTTCACTGGTCTGACCCGTTTCACGAAATAACAATATTTTCCGGCGAGATCACGAGGAGAAGGAGAAAAAGAAGAGGAAACAGCGGAAAAGAATTTTCTAGGATCTCTGTGTATCTTAATTTAATTTTTACCCGTGCAAATGTCTTCCAGGTATGCGATCCATAGGGAAATAGTCTTCCATATTGTCTTTACTTTTTCTTTTTCTCGCAGACCAATTATTTATCTACATGTAATTTATATACATATAATTTTTCCTAGTTGCTTTTGATTTTCTATTGCTTCATGAAATTAGCATGCTAGTTACGTGCCATTCATATTTTATATTTCAGCTGGTTTATTAGGTATTTTAGTTATTTTTTTGTAGTTAATAATAGAAGGCAACACGCCGCGAGAGAACTTGGCTGCTGCGCGCTTAACGGTGAAAGCAACATTTTACCAACGAACTTGGCTATTGTACACTTTATATTAAAAAAGCAATCAAAATACACAATTTCTACGATGATAGCTCTTCAAGATATTATTGTAAGCTTGAAAAGTAGTATATACAATATTACAACTTTTTTCAATCTTCGAAAGCAATATTATATAAACTTGCATCAAATAAAATTATTTATTATTAACTTATTCAATATATGAACTTTGAGATATTTGAACTGTTAAATTAGAAAATCTTTATTCAATGATGAACCCTCATTAATGCGAAATAATAGCGCATAACATCGAGATCAATTAATATTATCGAGATAAAAAATAAGAATAAATTTTGTTTTTACTTTGAAATAATCAACATATGACAATCGACAACTTTACATAACTTTTTAAAAGTGAGAAGAGAAACATAAAACACATGATGATAAAATCATTGCTAAAATTTTAATGTGCAAGTTAGAAAATATAGAAAAAAATATAAAAAGTATATATATGTAAATTAAAATACACAGAGTGACTCTCGTCAATTTAGTACGAAAATACTATTTTAGGGCTACATATAGGGCATGAAAAAAAATATTATATAAATGTATTGATTGTATGCTTTTTCAAGTGACAAATAAAATTAAATAAAAACTCAAAGCGCTCGCTTTCAGCTATAACATCATATCCTAACCACACGTTTTTTTATGAACTTAAAACAGCAATACACTATTATTATACAATCTTCTTCTCCTATACAATATTTTAAATTTATAATTAAATTTTATACAATGTGTACCAGCTATGTGCTGCAATTGATTATTTATACTTAATGCTACATTATGCTTGCAAAAGAGAAATAAATTATTAAAAAAGCTAAAATTAAATTTTAAAATCATTAACTTATCCTCGGCGCTGCTTTCTCTAAACAGAGAAACAAGATACAGAGTCATTTTGCGCTAAAACCCCTTCATGAACTATGAGTGGACGCAGCGCCCATATAACATCCCTTAATACGATCAACTGCGCATAATACCTTAAAAGACACTGTTAGGCGCGGTTGCGCCGACAGTCTGGGTTAGCTAACTCTAAGTTAGCGACTCGTTGTCCCTTTCTGGATTATAGTGCTATTCTATAACATAGACTGAGAAAGAAAATTTAGTTGAACTGGGTTAGCGTTAAACCCTACGTCAGTACCATCGGCTCTTAATGGCATATCGAGGATGCGGCACTTGCAGTATAACGCCGCATTGATTACAAAAGCTAAAGGGGCTTGCGCTACATCGATATAATCGATATTCAACGCATAATCTCGCGGCTTGAACGAGCATCAATTAAAGCTAGTTTGATAAATTAAATTAAGGACTTGTTATACAAATATAAAATCTACAGTAAATGAAATAAATAAAATAATTCTAATAAATAAAATATCTGATAGATCTCAAGGTAAAAATAAAAGAAATAAAAAAATTCTAGAAGACACACAAAATATAATTCACTTAATATGTTTAATGTATTAAAATATATTTAATAATATAATTTATATATATATACATTATTTTTTATTAAAATATATATTCTTCACCAAAATATATAGCAATAATAAGGATGATTCACTAAATAAATATTTTTTTGCAATTCGCGTCAATTCCATAGAAGAAATGGATAATTTTTCGTATAATTACTAGCTTATATGTAGAAAAATATAGATCTGAAAATAGTAGTAAAATAAATTGTGTATATATATATATATATATATATATATATATACACATACATATATGTATACATATATGTATATGTACATAATTTATTGTACAGTTATTTTCAAATCTCTATTTTTCTACACATAAGCTAGTAATCCTATGAGAAACTATTCATTTTCTAGGGGTTTAGAGTGAATTGCGAGAAAATATTTTTTTTCCTTTTGTGAATCATCCTTTATTATTGCTTGATGCAAGAGCCGTGTACGTAATTTTTCTTCCACTGAATCCGCAAGTTCCATCCACACTTCCAGCATTCCTGAAATTCAGAATGCCAGTTCAAGGATTTTGATAAAATTTATCTGGTTCTTTATTTTTATCGATAATCGAAGATTTCTGCTTTGCGTTTGAGATTAAATTTTTAAAGAAAAAAAGTCAAAGAGATTATATTAAATGTAAAAGCAAACACTCTTATATAAATTTTTGTATTGTCTAGATAAATATTTTAATTTCATTCTTTATTTTAATTATTAGTACATAAAATAAAATACATTGTAGCTAATTGTTATTTTATAATACATTCAATATTTTATAATACATTCAAAGTAAAATATACTATTTTAGTATTTATTTATATATTAGAAATGAAAGAGCATGTGTGTGGTGATCGATCGTGAATCAAACATGCGTTTAATCAACAGCACGTTTGATAAACGGTATAAACGATGCATTGGTTTATCGTCAAATCAGATATCAAGAATATTGATTGTGTCGCATCTCTTACTATTAGCTTATTATCAAATATTTACTTTGATGGGTAGTTTTTACATTAATTGATTCTCAAATGATATTTTATCTAACAACAATTAGATCAATAAATCTCTCAATAAATCTTAAAATTAATATTATTATTCAATTGATCTCTTTATCGAATCTCAATTTCAAAATTTTTATGCACTTTTTGAATTGTTTATATTACATAAATTACATTTTTTTACACAGATCAAAATCATAATGTTAAGTTCTTTCATTCCAATTATTTACATAAATTTACACACATAAAATTACGTATCAATCTTATATTCGTTTAAATAACGGATTTATCGATAAGTCATGAGCTTAAATATTTTAATTTATTAATAATTATTATAAAATTTATAAACATAATTATTAATATATGAATTATTAGCTTTATTATAATACTAATAATTATTATTTACTTTATAAATAAATAAGCACTTTATTGTAATTTATAAAGAAGAATTTTTGAAAAAAATTAGAAATATTTTCGAAACATATGTACATTCATAACTGATTGTATTTATGCTTAGAGCACGTAGAACACGTAGTTGCTATGCTTGAATACGACAGATAAGATAAGTTTATAAAATTGTGATACGAGCAAAAAAAAATGCCGACAAAAACTCCGTCAATAGCATACGTTATCGTCATTATGAGTCAACTGAAGCAGATAATGCTAAAATACAGGTAAAAATACGTCATGCTCTCACTGTCATTCAGCGTTGACAACAGAAATGTGTTCGCAAAGTCTGCTGCTGATACTGCTTCTCTGCGTCTTTTACTGCTACACGCAAGTAAGTGCTCGTCGAGGTTTAACATTCTAACTGTAAAACTCGATTGCTCTACAGAATAACTTATCTTCCATTAAATCTGTAAATTTTATGAACAATTATATATTTCATATTTTAAATTATTGTAATATTCTCTGTAATATGCGATGAAAGATAACATGTTTGACAATTTATGTGTGTTGAGAAATATAAAATGTTATTTATAAGATAATTATAAGAGAAATCATGCATTGTTAATACATTGTAACATATAAATTAAATCAACTATTATATATATATTATATATATATATACACATACGCTTTTTCTTATTATTATCAAGAATTCATATTTTATCAGATATTAAATTGAAAATATGAAATAAAACAGTTGACTTAATTTATATGTTACAATGTACTTATATACGTTTTTTCTTTATACATACATACATATATATATATATATATATATATATATATATTAAATCCATTTTAAATTAATTAGCCACATAACTAATTATATTGTTAGAGTTTAAAAGATATTAGTGATTTCAAGGAAAAGTCGAAATTGGGACAGATTTTCGGTATTGATGCTTAAGAAGAAAGTTTGTACATTTTCATTGACTGTATAAGTATTATCTCTTGCATTAGTTTGCGTCTCTGTCGTAAAGTTTAGCGACAGGTATGGTGCAAAGTCTATGCGCGCAGTTGTTGCGCGATTAACCCGTTCATGTGGACGATATTGCATTTTCGGGTCAAATAATGATAACGAGCCAAGTTAAACAATAAGCAGTTTCTCGGAAGGACGATGCTGTCGGCAAAAGTTTTAATGAGGATCGAAAGACAAGTCGCTCGATTTCCTGTCTGACATGAACAACCTCGATCTCCTGTCTCAGTCAACTAGATGCGAATTTCAAGCGTCGGCAATTAGTTATTATACTAAATAGGCATGTAGATTAGATCAAGTTTCGCAATGCAATTGCAGAGAAAGCAATTTAATGTTTTTTTGTTTAGTATATAATATTAATTAATTTCAATTTTTAATAACAATTATACGTATGAATCAGTTTTTAACTAATATTTAGCTTAATTATATGTATGAATCAGCTTTTTAACTAATTTATTTTTAATCAGAATTAAGATTTTGGTGCAAGCAAAGATTTTAGTTTAATATAATCAATGAAATTACATATCACAGACTACTAAAATTATTTAAAAATGAGAAAGCGTGCAAATATTTTTCAACATATTATATGTATATATTTAAAATTTAAAATATGTAATTTTTGTCAATATTAATGAAATGACACTTTTTTTCTTAATTTCTCCGCAAAATAGTGTATCTCTTTTAAATTATGTGCTCAAATATTTATATTCAATAAAATAATGTTAACGTTAATGACAGAATTTCTTATAATTACTAATATTTATTAGATACAAGCTCTTTCTTTTATCTTATATATATATATATATATGTGTGTGTGTGTGTGTGTGTGTGTGTGTGTGTGTATGTGTGTGTGTGTGTGTGTGTGTGTGTGTGTGTGTGTGTGTGTGTGTGTGTGTGTGTGTGTGTGTATTTGTACATTTATCACAAAAATCAATTCATGAACATAGGAAAAAAGATACAAACTACAATTATATTTTATAAATATTAAAAATTACAAATTCTGTTTTATAAAATGAATATATTAATTAATTATTTTTTTAGAAAAGGGAGCTGGAGATCCTATAATATAACATTGAAATCATATATACAATTACTGAAAATTCCAAATATATCAATGTTTATTGAATTTGCAAGCGATAATATCTATGATATTTCGAAAGGTTGGACATACGAAAACACATTTCAAGCGCACATTGATAAAATGTAACATTTTATCTTTGAAAGATAATATTTCAAATTTACTAAAAGTTTGCTAAAAAGATAGGAGACTGTGTCAAATTAAACTATAAAAATATAAAAAATGTATTATTTCAGGATAAATTTAAAATACGTATATATAATGCATTATATCGCGATACGTGACATAATTTTAAAAAACAAAACTATATCTTTATCTCTATAAATTAATCAAATTCATATTTATCATCAGTAACATCAGTATTTTCAGTATCGAAACATAGCATGTATATTGTTTATGTAATTTTACATATATATAATTTATTATAAAATTTTAATCTTTCTCTCTCTTTCTCTCTCCAAAAGGAAAGCAGAAACATTTGAAATGAACAACATATAAATAATAGACATAAAATGGATAATAGATATAATAGATATAAAAAGAATTTGTTTTTAAATAAGTTATCTATTTTCTAGTCTAGCAGAAAAATATATTTAATTTTTTAATACAGATCCTTTCAATCTCATACTATCTTGTATCATGGTTATATAAAAATAAATATGTAAATTAGGTAAAACTGGTAGAAGAGGTACTTTGCACTATCATCTTTCATTTCGTTTATAATACTTACGAAACTGATTTTCACCTTCCCCGCCCACTATTTCCTTCCTTGTAACTTAAAGGATTTGCCAAGCGACCATTTAAACACTCAAAAGACTTAACTTTCTTTCCTTTAATTAATTCCCTGCTGATTCTTCAGAATATTAAACAACTGAAAAAGAAAAACAAAGTTTATATAAAAAAATCTCTCTACAGTAGTGTTTTAATAGACTTTTATGCTTTAAGTAACTACACATTAAATACACATACACATTAGTTTCTCTCTCTCTCTCTCTCTCTCTCTCTCTATATATATATATATATATATATATATATATATATATACATTTATCATATTCCAGATATTACTACAAAAATTTCCAAGTTTTATTTGTTTTATCAGTTTTCCCGTATTCAGTTGAATAGAACAAAGAGTAAGCTTTATGATGAGGCTGCAAAAGCATGAAAAGAGAGTAAGAGGTATAGAAGGGAGGAAGGTCGCGCTCGAGGGAACACGCATCCAAAACTAGATTATAAAGTTTCATTGTGTTATCACTGCTTAAAGGATTAACGCCTTCTTGCGAAACGCGTGTTGGGAATTCTATTCAGTTACACTGGCTGCACAAAATCGATGCAGAATTGAGTAAAGTGGCAAACTAATTAGCCGCACTTTTCTGTGCCATATATATATATATGCATGAATTATTTAAAACTCCGATGAAATTCCTATATGACTCATATATATCTTATATATTACACCAAATATTTTAAAACTCCTGAATTTTATTTTAATAACGGATTATAATGACAAATTTTAAAAGAACTTCTCCTTAATATAATTTTTTAAACAACAATGATTTATATATTCATATATATATGGATATGTAAATCATTGTTGTTTAAAAAATTATATTAATATATATATATATATATATATATATATATATAAAATTTTCATGTATTGATGTGTACATGAAATACGCAACACTGTTCATGCACATTATGTGTGCATGAACAGTGGCCTTTGAATCAATATTTTTACATATGTATATCTACTTGTTTTTATGTTATTTTTAATTTTTTTATATGTATTTATTATATTTATTTATAGGAGATCACACTAACTCAAAATGAAATAAAAAGTATAATGAACGAATCGATGATACTATCGACTGCCATGGCTTGCTTTGTGTTTTTAGTCTTAATTGTGCTAGTTCCTACGATATTATATTAGTAAGTATTTTTCTGCATATTTTTATAGTAATAAAAATACATATCATATAATACATTATCTTGATACATTAGACAAAATCATTTAAGTATTTTTTAACATATTTTTTAACATATAATTCTAGTATTTGCTTAAATAAAATTACATTTCTATTTAATTTCAACATTATTTAAAGATACATCATTGTATTAGATAAAATGTACGAAATATTTATAATATTTTAATATGATATTTAATTATATTTAATATGAAAATACTTCTTTGCAGTAGGTACTGCTCTAAAAGAGAAATTGAAGTACCAATAAATTGAAATATCGTCCATATTGGTGATTGCAGACTGCAATTATTTTTTTCAGCTAAATTGTATTATTAAATAGATATAAGCATTCTATGTCACATATTAAGATTAAAAAAGAATTGAAAATAATCAAACTTTTTATCGCAAAACGGCTGTATGCCGCTGTTAATCCGCATATTTATTCAATAAATATACATAAATTAACACATTCGCATAAACTAGTATGAATTTTATAATTAATCCGTCAATCTCATTTTATAACTCGTTATTAGCAAAACCGCGCGAACAGACTGCTCTGTTAAATTTCGATTCGATCAAATGCAAAATATAAGAGGGCAGTGTATTTTGTATGATAAACTCACACAAAATGATCAATTATGTATACAACATATGTATTTTATTTACTTGTTAGCTGCGTATAATATCAAATATATATTTAATGTAGTTTTTTTAATGTTAATTTTATCAATGATAAAAAATCATTAATATTTATGTATGAAGAATTTTTTCTTTATTTATAAAATGTTTAATATCAATTTTATGGAATTTTGTCTTGTTTTGAGATTTCCTATTTCCTACTGTAAATATTAACATTTTTTGACAGAAGCGGGTTTAAATCGCTCTCCGAAAGCAATTAAAGCTATTTTTATAAATTTTAATATTTGACTAGCAGTGTATATGAATGTGAATGCCAGGATAGAATCGTGATTAATCGCTGTTAGAAATATTCAAACTTATGTAGAAAAATATATATTCTACATTATTAATTAAACTTTTCACTTTTTATTGATATAAAAAAGTATAAAATATTATAGATATAAGATAAATTTAATATCTGATAATAAAGAAAAGAACAATAATAATTCAAAAAATTATTGCACAATTTTACTTTTATCATAGCTATATTTTCTATATGCTGCCATCTTACACTTGTTGCATATACTAAAACGATTTAAGCTTATAAGACTGTGTATGTAGATATTAGATTTTATTATTAACTTTCCTTATATATAAACATATAATAATTATAATCGGGAATCTAGTTATAGCATTTATTTAATAAAATATTATTCCATATTGTTTATGTATTTAAAGATATAGAATAATTTTTAAAAGAATATTACAAAATTTATAAGTAGTTTAAAATTTAAAAATAATAAAAAAGAATTTCTTTATCCCAGATAAAGCTATTATAAATCTTAAAATAACAATAGTTATATGATTATATAAAAAATATTAAATATCATTCATACAAAAAAAATCAATTACATAAAAAATATTAAATATCATTCATACAAAAAAAATCGATCTAGATAATATCTTATGTGTGTTATAGATTCTTTCTATCTAATGTATATAGTAAGTATTAATTTCTCTTATTAAAATTTTACATTTATCATTAATTTTTTTAAATTGTTTCTCCCACGCAAAAATAAATGCAATTAAATTTACACACACACACACACACACACACACACACACACACACACACACACACACACACACACACACACACACATATATATATGTATACTTTCTCTCTGAAATTTGTTATTACGTTTTTGTTATAAAATATACTTAGTGTGAAGTTTAAATAAATAAATTTGAAAAATTAATCTGCTAGCAAATACTTATAAATCTTTTAGTAATTATTTTTTCAGTCATATATTTTCAAATGTATTTTTATTGAAATTTTTTTACTAAAAATTAATTTTTTTATTCAATTCCCTATATTAGTATTCTTTTATCCGGTTACATATATGTACACTTATAGTGTATATATATGTTAATATTATTATGTACATTTGTATAGATATACATCAATTATCGACTGAAAATAAAGGAAAAAAATAAAGAAATTTAAAATTTAAATAAAATTTGAGCAATTTATTTTATTTTAATTTAACAAAAAAATTGTAAATTATCTAAGAACACTCTTCAATTGATAATTCACTCTATGGAATCGAATCGATGAGCACAGAATCGGAAACGATAAAATGTCCAAGTTGCAACGAAATGTACGGACATGACTGATATTTCAACTTCAGGCCAGGCAGTCATTGACGTTGAACGATAATGAAACTATACCCATGCTCTATTTGACCGAATAGTCTCGATAATTTCACTCAAATAGAGTACTTTATCGACTTGGATAACCGTGTGCTGTTTGTGCACGATTGCAGAATAATAATAGTGCAACAAAATGTGTGATACACACATATTGCAGTAAGAAGTGTGAAATGCAATACAATACAACAGCACATGTTCCATCCATTGTTATGCATATATAAAATGATGTGCTCATATCAAATAGATCTGATATATATATATATATATATATATATATATATATATCAGATCTATTTGATATGAGCACATCATTTTATATATGCATAACAATGGGTGGAACATGTGCTGTTGTAAGAAAAAACTTTTTAATGATATATATATATCATTAAAAAGTTTTTTCTTATTTAAGACAAATTTCTCGTATATGCTCTCTGAATTTTAGTAAAAATAAACTAAAATATAACGTTTTACAACAATAATTATTAATTTTACAATAATTATTGAGTAAAAAAAATGATTAATTAAAAAAGATAAAAACTTATTGTTCAATATTTTATGTTTTTTCTTTATTTATTTATTATTTTTTGATCTCTAAATATTTGTAAACAAATAATTTTAAGCTAGTTTTCAACAATTATGCGCAATTATTTTTTTACTCTTAATTTACAGATAAATTAACAGAATTGATATCCTTGATTCAAAATACATTTTTGATATGATGTTTATTCTTTCTCTTCCTTTCTCTTTTTTTTGTAAAAGCAAACTATATCTGAAGAGATTTTAATTACAGCATAACATTTTTTTATATAATAAGAAAAAAGACTTATGTCTATTCTATAGTAAATATCTCTATTTACTAACATTTTTATTTAGTAATTCTATTAATAAATAAAAAATCTATTCTATTAGTAAATATTTATAATCAATAACAAAATTAAAAATTGCCTGAAAAAAATAATATCATGCACAATAAGAGTAACGAAGTGTCACTCGTAAATTTGTGTCATAACATGAACACGAGAACAGTCAACGTTGATAAGGGAAAATATGTATAAAGCTTTTTCCTCAATGTGCATAGTAATATAAAGTTTAATATAGTCTCAAACTTTCACGAATTGTGATCAGAACTGCTCGGTACATCAACGCCCAGGCAAACGCGCGCATTCTCGGTGCATTGCAAATTTGAAATGGTTCTTTAAGGCATGAAGCACAGTCGGGTTTTACGTTGTGCAAAAGAGTTTATTTTGGAATTTCGAAGGTAGAGAAGTGAATCCATTACGCTTGCGTCGTAACATTGGCTTGAAACGAAATCACAACAAAATACTTGGTAACGACACAACTAATTAACGGAAATCATATAAGTAAAAATGACGAAAACTAAAAATATATTGTTGCCAAGAGGAAACGATATGTTAAGATTTGCATTAATACAAACTATTGACTATAATTAATCACTACGAAATTACAAATTTAAAAAAATATTTAAAAAATTTTTATTGACAGTTAAGAAAATTGTAGATTAAAAGAATTAAAAGTTAAAAAAATAATTAGTTGCGAATTTTTTTATTACACAAAGTTAGATTATTCTAACACTTTGTTTTATTCATTTTAATCGTTTAATGGTAACAATAATTGAAGATATAAGTTACCGACAAGTTTAATATTATCTATCATTGGTACCATAATAAAACATTTTATCACTGGTACCAACGATATTGTATTATTTAAACAGTCTTACGAATACTCGCGTTAAAAAGAAAAATGAGAGATGTCATAATCCGCTTTGAAGTGATCCCTGAAAGCATTCATCCTCTATAAACATCATAACGTGAACATGGAACTACGAAGCCAATATCTACGAGTGTTTTCAATGGATAACACAATTTCGGATTGTATTCCATACTACGATGAACATGAAATGACGATAATACGAGTTATAAAACGTTTGTATATAAAATAAATTTCTAATATAATATTTCTAATATATAAATAAGTTTCATTGTCATTTTTACGGACAACAATTATTGCTTTAATAATAGAGTCAAATATATTTCATTCACGACACTTTATCGTTTTACTTTTCAACGATTAAATATAATCTATATCACGTAACAATCAAATCGCAGAATCAAGTAATTAAAATAACAAAAGATTCAATGATATACAATCGTTTAATAAATAATTAAAATCTACAATTTAAAATATTTCTAAGCTTTAATATTCCGTATATATATAAAATACGTAAAATATTTCGGCAACGAGTTGACAATAACACGGTATTTGGCCTTAACGGCAAAGCGCGCTATTGTTTACATCTCACGGCCTTGTTCTCATTCGCGCGACGACATTCGAGGACTATAGTCGTAGTGCGAAATACTTCGTATATATTATCGAATTCTTTTTTTAAACGCGATCGCATCGAAATATAATTATTACAACTACCAAATATTAAACTTTTAAATCCAATCTTAATAATTATTCATCTAATAATGTTTGAAGTCAAATATATTTCGTCTGATATTTTAAATTTTCGTAAAATGCGAATATAAATTAATCATTAAATAAATGATTATTATGTCATACTCTTCAATTCATTACATTAATCTTTCGATTTTACTATTGGTGTAGTATGTATGTACATACTATCAACAATAAAGATAGCATATGTAGCGTCATTTCTAGCGCATAAATTTGGCTTCAAATAAACGTCGAATGTATCGTCTTCTCTCGTGTTTTTTACTTTTTATTTAAAAAAGTATGTATCTCTCATGTAATTATTCGCGACCGGGAGTGTTGTGCAAAGTGTTTCGCGGTCGTTCGATATATCTAATCATTATTAATCGTATTTTCGAGAGTGAGTGTGAGTGCCATGAATAGCAAAGGACAAGGAGAAGAGGAAATGGAGATTGGAAAAAGTATAGGACAACATACGGAGCAACGAATATGTGATGTAAGTGATTTATAAATTATTTATTATTTGTATTTTCATATAGGTTGTTCTTTTTTTATTTTCTAATTCATTCTAAATATATTGTCAAATATAACGCATATATAAAATATTTTAGTTTTTATTTTAAAAAATATTTTAAATATCTATAATAAAATATTTAATACTTTAATATTTTTTTGCATTAATTAATATTATATAAATTGTTTAATATTTTGTAAAATATTTTACAATGTTGTAATTATTAATTATTTACATATTTAGAATTAGAAACTTTTAATGGATTAAATTTATTACAAATGCATTTATTTATATGCAAGAAAATATTTTTCTGATAATTACAATTTATAATATCAAACATCTGTTAAAAAGGGAAAAAATTGACGTATATTTACGCGTAATAAGTAATTTTACAATCGATTAATTTAGATTTGTTTTACAACAACTTGTTTTACATACAAAATAAATTTATTAAAAATATTAATCGATTGTATTTGGATTTAATTTGTATTTGGCGTAATGATTAATATTTGCTTCGAAATGTTCGATATATCAATAGTATTTGTAGATTTGCAATAATTTTAACAATAATTATTATATATCAATAAATTTTCATTATTATTTATTATCATAAAATCTCTGCAAATTAGGAATAAATTGTAAAAAAATTATATTATAGCTTTATACTATATATTATAGCAAGAATTATAATATTACTATTACTAATTGCAATTATATGCTTTATTTTTTATAATATTATATGTTATAAAATTCACTTGACACTATATTAATTAAAGCAATGTTATATTAAAATGACAACAAACGGTCACAATATGACGATTGTAAATGAGCATCAAATTACGCTCATGTACCGGTGAAAATAGTAAGTGAAATAAGTACCCGGCAACGGGAAGAAGTTTTGATCCTTCATTGTTTTAATAGAGGTCGAATCTATTATATTTTTGAATTCTGTGTAGTGGCATGTAATAAAATTATGTATTTTTAAATATATGAGTATTCAAGATTAACGATATAAAAAATAAAGATAAAAATTCTAAATCTTAGGGAATAATAATATAATAAAATATTTAACAATAAAATAAATATGGAAAGAAATATTATTTAAATTTCTATTATTTTTTAATGGGCTTGATGAACCTTTGATAAATAAAAAAAGTAAATGCAATATTACTATTTAATAATAATAAATGGTAAAATAAAATAAGTTGAATAAAATTGATTTATAATGTTGCGTTATTAACAATCTTTTTTATATTCATTGAACTGTTAGATTATTAATATATGGAATTGTTAATATTAAATTAGTAATTATGGAGAGAATGCGCAATAAAATAATCGAATCACAGAATCAATTAACATAATAATAAGCGCCGTAATACGTACAATCATTTAATAAATAATTAATTTATACTTTAAAATGCTTATATAATATAATAATCTACGTGTGTATATATATATCATTGTGTATATATGTTTATAAGTACATATATATTTATTGAAAAAAAATATCCTTTATCAATATTAACTTTCCTACTTAATCCCAAAATAATGTCTCCTTCTAATGTCGTTTACAATCAATTAATTATTAATCTTCACATTAAATAAGTCAGAGTTGAGTTTACTAGAATTATTTATTAATTACCATTGCTCATTAAATATGTTCACGATGAAAAATTGCAAGAAATGAGCTATCATTTTACTCTATCTCATTTATTATCTTATTTACAATTTCATCAGAAATATTCTATGCCAGAAAGAACATCAAACGTGTTTCTTAATTTTTAAAATGCGTTTTAAATTCTTTGAATAATGGTACAATTACGATCAAAGATTCATCAAATATTTCGTTTTATTCATATATGTGGTATTATAACAAATACCTGGCCGTATGATCCTAATAGAGGGAAACTTATTTTTATTTTGCGAGAAATTGAGTGGAGTTTTATATTCTTGAATATAATTGTAGTAATAGTGTCATTTATGTTCTCCATTTATAAATCTTGGAACGATATAACGACGATGATGAAGGCTCTTTCAGAATTTTCTTCTGCAGTGGACATGTTTCTCAATCTTATCATATTCAAATTAAAAAGCACGCGCATACAGGTCAGTGCATTGTATTAACTATTACTCTCGTATTAGTTTGATGTTGTAGAATGAGGTATATTTTATATAGTGACATTTGCCCTTTACACAATATCAGGTTATGTTTGATATTTTAAATGCGTAAATGAATTTTTCAAATATATTATTAATAAATTCTCATGAATTTACATGTACTCTAATTATTATTAATATTGTTTCAAACAAAACATTATGTCATTCAGCTTTATTACTTATGCATCGTTGAACTTATTTTTTTTAATTTGTTATTAAAAATAATAAATATTAATAAAATATTAATAAAATATTAATAAAAATATTAAATATTAATTAAATATTAATAAAAATATTAATTAAATTTAGAATTTTCTGCGAGAAATAGAAGACTTTCTTCGCACTTCCGATGACAATGAAAAAATCATCCTGCAGAAATATGCGGATCGTTATTTCTTCTTTTCTGTATTTATTATAATATGCAACTGTTTAGCCGTTGTCGTCTTTTCTTGCGGTCCTCTTTTACTTTTGACGAAGTTTCCTATTGAAGTATGGTACCCATTTCCTATTGAATCGCCGATTGCGATACATATCTTCTACACCATACAAGTCTACTGTATTATAAAAACTGGACTTAATTTTATGCCGAACTTTATATTGGCCATATTATTTTTATATTCATCTGCAAGATTAGAAATGTTATGTTTAAAAATACAAAACGCAAAGAATAAAAGGCAGATAAATTCATGTATTAAGAAACATCAGAAAATAATTAAGTAAGTGATTAAAAACCTAATTAAAAAACTCTTTGTCATAAAATTGTATCTAATAAATATAGTAAATTTTTAGATCTTTTTTACATATCTCTACAGTGTATTGCAAATATATTAATATGATCAATTTATTAATATTTTAATATATTAATATTAATATATTAACATTATTAGTATATTTTAATATAATATAATATATTTTAATATAATATAATAACATATAGTAAGTAATAAAATTATTTAGTATTAAAATTAATTCATTTTTCATAATTAGATATATGAATGAAATAAAACATACTGTGAAATATATTCTTCTCAAAACAAACATTATGACGGCATCACTTATTATTTTTGGTGCTTTCCCAATTATTCGCGTATGTTGCATTTTTATTAACATTTAATTATTTCTTATTATAATTCTCGGTTTCTAACGATATTTATTTAACTTTTATTTTAAATTTATTATATTATTTACTATAGAAACAACCGATATGGGTATTATCTCAATTTATATTTATGATAATCAGTGGATATCAAAGAGTATATATTACTGCTTGGACAGCTGATGACTTAAAAGAAAATGTAATTATAATAAAAATTTATTTAGTAAATTTAATAAATTATGAATAATGTGAATTAGCATATTTTATATGATCATAAAAACTATTACATTTATAGAACTATTTTGGCAAAAACTAATTAATACTTTATAGCAAATTAATATTGATACTGTTACGATTTTAGAGTAAGCAGATTGGAATGGAAATATATAATATACCATGGTTTAAAAAATCACAATATAACGCTAAAGATATATGTTTCATGATTCAAAGGAGCCAAATACCATTTAAAATCAGCATAAGAGGTCTTCTACCAACCTTATCCCTTGAATATTTCGCTAAGGTGTATATTTTTTATATAATCTTTTTTTTATATAATAATATTATTATATAATAACTTTAAGCATAATTGGAGATAGAAATAAAATAAAAAAATATAAATTATCTTTTTACAGTATTTCGTGATGACGTTATCTTATTTTACAACAATGAGAGCAATAATTGGTGATTAAAATAAAAGGAAAAATAACTTACATATGTAGTATTTTCCACATCTATTAAATAATTACACAAACGCAATATAAATTAATAACTATATATATATATATATATATATATATATATATATATATATATATATATATAGAATTTTTATATATACTGAAATATGTAATTAAAAATTATTATTTGATACTAAAAATTACTATTTTAAATAAATTATATAATGTGTAAGTTTTTTTAAAAGAGTTTGAGACAAATGTTGCTTAGAGCGATTTTTAGAATAGACAAATTTTTACCTTTGTTTTTGTCTGCACAATTGTAAAGTAGCATGATCAATTTATTCATAAAATATAAGCGATTATTTGAGATGATATTATTCTGAGTATGGTTAAGAAAAGAAAGAAAAATATATTGAAGATAAACATGATATACTGACAATATCTATATGTGCTTATCTTTATGACATTCTGTATATTCTATGTTTGCTACATACTTCTATTACGTATCAAGCATTATTATAATAAAAAATTAATTTTCTTAATCAATGATGTGTGTGAATAATATGTGAGACAGTGTTTAAAGAGAATATTAATTTCTACCAGCTTTACTATGCTTTGGAGTTTATAAAATATAAGTCATTTCTTGAAGTTATAATTTGACTTTTAGTATTTTCCTAGAAAACAACACAAATCATATTATCTACTAAGCACCCTTATTCATATATTAATTATTTACAACTTATAATGAACTTCAATTCTCTATATTCTTAATTGCGTTTCAAAATACTAAAACAGCGCATGTATTGAATGTTTAATGATAAGAAATCGAGAGTACATGGCTCGGATTATATTCAAGCACCCCTATTCATATATTAATTATTTACAACTTATAATGAGCTTCAATTCTCTACATTCTTAATTGCGTTTCAGAATACTAAAACAGTGGATATATTGAATATTTAATGATAACAAATCGAGAGCATATAGCTCGGATTATATTCAAAAGTTAACTGTACATAGAAATGGCACGTTTTCACTTGACGCCCCAACAACTGCTTTGGATTCTTGAAATATTAGGAGTGTTATCCAGTACATCGCCAAAACCGATATCTGGAAGATTTTACAACATTCTTCGAAATATTTTTTGGTATCTTATCTGTGGCAATTTTATATTTCAATTAATCGGCGAGATACTCTACATTTATCACAATCAAGATGATATCATTATGATACTAAAAACTATATTGATAGCTGCTTGTGTTACTGATGGACTCCTAAATCTCATATTATGTCACATTCAAAGAGAACAACTTCAGGTATGACAGCTTTTATTATTTTAATTAAATATGAGAAAAAATATAACAATGTGCAACAATAAACAAAATACGAAAATGCTAAAATTTTCTAAAAATAATATAAATAAGTTTAAATTTACATAAAGATTACGCAATATTAAAATAAGATTTATATAAAAATTTATAAAAATTGAAGATTTATATAAAGATAAAATTATAAAAATTATGAAGAATTTATCTTACGTAAATAATTAATATTTTAATGAAAAATTTAATAAACTTATATTTTGCCGTAAAAATAAATATATATTCATATTTAATTTATAATTATCACATTTAATTTTATGTTAAAATCTGCCATTAATATCTTATTTTGTGTTTTATTATTTAGTAGATCTCAATAAACATATATACATATATATATATATATATATATATATATATATATATATATATATATATATATAGGACTATTTTAAATATACAGAATATTTATCATGAATATTTTGATGTACCTTTTATTTTTAGAGAATATATCTCCAAAAAAGAAATTGCTTTGTTATAAGCGAATAGTATGAAAAAAATTTTTAGTCGAGGTTTTTTTCAAGATCATTTCGAAATCATTGTTATTTCTTAAAATTGTATAATATTTTTTGATTCGATGACATCAAAGTTTAAGACATAAAAAGACTTCAAAATATGTTTTTCAGTACAAAAAATTAAGAGAAATTGGGTAAATTAATTTTGACATTTATTTTTTTATGTATATTTAAAATAATAATTACGATGAAATCTGAATGATTTCGAGCACGACAAATAAAAAATCGCAAAACATTTTTTATCTCTTGACTCAAATTAGAATATATTCTGTAATATGTATATGCATTTTTTTATATTATTCGATATTATTGTGAAAATATGTTTCTGCATCGATTGCTAATGTGATTCTAACATTACCAACTGACAAAGCTTTGCGTTGTACTATTGTAAATAATACGTTCTTTAATTGCTTGATTGAAAGTAATGCAGTCACTTACTTGTTAGCTTATTCATCAGATTTAATATTTAAATAACGTAATAATTAAATTTTTCTATAAAAAAGATTTTAAAAAGTAATCGTTTAAAACAACATATCGTTATAATATCAAATCCATATTTTTAATTAAAAAATTTCCCTAAACAGTTATGTTTTCAGTTAATTCCTAAGGTATTTTTTCATATTTAGAATAAGAAAAATTTTCAAGACTTTTTTAATCAATAAAATAATTAATATGCACAATCTACGCGAGATTTGATAATATATATGTGTATAATATATGTGTGTATACATTTTGAAAATCATTTACAGCATCTTTTAGAAGAAATTAAAAACTATCTACAAACTGCTAATGAGAATGATATAAATATTCTGCAGAAACATATGAATCGTTATATGTTAATATCAGCAGCAAATATTTTATTGCTATCCTGTGCTGGATTGATCATCTGCTTTCGTCCTCTGGTCACAAATGATCGTTTTCCTGTTGATGTGTGGTATCCATCTTTTATGGATATACCACTTACAATTAGATCATTTTTAATCTATGTCTCTCAAATTTTTTCCGGCATAGAATGTGTTCTAGCCTTTAATACCGATATCACAATCGCCACATTTATCTGTTATTTCACCGCTAGACTCGAAGTATTACAACATAATTTGAAAAATACAAAAACCAAAGATTTTATACATGCATGTATTAAAGAACATCAAGATATTATCAAGTGAGTAGCAGATTTTTATTTTGATACTAATAATTTATAAAAAATATTTCTATTTATTGTAACATTCATTGTGTTTAACATAAATATTAACGTTATATTGTTAAATATATTTCAATATATTGTGTGTATGAGCATACACACTACCATAAATATTAGAAAAGTATTTTTAGCTAAAAGATATTTATATTTATCTATGAATTCGTAACAAAGAAGATATATTACGTAAGATGTTTTTATACCATTTCACTTATTATCGAAATTAGATTAGTTGAAGTGACCCAAGCTACTATACAATATTTAATTCTAAAATTTAATCTTACCATGGGCATAACTGTAGTTTGCAGTTTCTTTCCACTAATAATTGTAAGTTTATTAGCAAATTTTTACTATTTAAGATTTCTTTATTTGTTAATGTATTTATTATTTAAATTGTACTTGAAATTAGCATTTAACAATAAAGATTTTCTTTTATTTTCTTCACTCACTTTTTCACTTTGAGATATTAAAAACATAATTTTATTTCAAAGAATCAACCCTTGGCTGTAAAAGGTCAATTTATGTTCACATTACTTAGTGCATGCCAAAGATTTTACATCGGTGCCTGGTCAGCAAATGATTTAATTGAGAGGGTAATTAATTTTAATATCTAGTTATTATTTCAATATATTAATAATTATTATGTTATTTTGATCTATAAATTATTGTGAAAGAATAACTGACGAAAAATTATATTATTATAGTTTTTAAATTAAATTATTCTACAAAATTTTAGAGCGAACAGATTGCATACAACTTTTCGTTTGAAGATTATATGACACCAGAAACCATAAATGATATTTTATTCATAATAATTAGAAGTCAAAAACCTCTTACAATATCAATGGCAAGTTTTCTCCCCGTTCTCTCTTTAGAATATTTTGGAAACGTAAGACAGATTTATATTAAATACATAATACGTAAAGAAATAAATAAATTATTAACATTTGTGTTAATTCGTGTTTTTCAGTTTATGACAAAGGCTTTTTCTTATTTTACGGCATTGAAGAGTTTATTATAAATATTTAATTTTATATACATCTAGATATTGTTGCATAATATTTATCTTATTTATTTTAGAATTTAATTTGTTCATTGCAAATATTATTCTAGAAATTATTATTGCACGTATTATAATTATTTTTTTACAATATAATTTTTATAATTTAAACATTTTTAAGGTTATTTTTGTTTTAAAACGGTGAAACTTAAAAATTATATTTATAAAAATGTACACATTTTTGTAAAAAAATTACACTATTAAATATAGTATTTATTGTGCAAGAATATGAAACATGTACAAAAATTATTGAAAAACTTTCCAAAAATAAGAAGACTCGTTCAATATATGAAAAATTTCAAAGCATAAAGGAATATTTCAATTTCAGTATTTCATATGAAATCGAGATATTGATAGTTTTACTTATAAAAAATTTTACGAAAATCGATTATTAAAATGGATAAAAATAATATTAAATAATTATATGTACACACATATATATATATATATATATATATATAAAAATACATATGTGCATACATACAAATCTGAGATAATCAGTTAACAATAGATAAAGATAAAATTGATTTTGTTTCTTTTAGAGTGAATTATGTTTATAAAATATTATAAATATTATTACATAGAATATACACATGCATATATATATATATATATATATATATATATATATAATTGACATATATATATATATATAATATTGTATATATATATATTAAAATATATGTCAATTATATCTTCATAGAACATGTTAAGTATATATTCAGGTTACAATAATTTTTCATAAGTAAAAGTTTGTGCCAATAATCGATTTTTATCGTATATATCAAAGATTCATAATAATTATTGCACGTGATAATAATCAAATAAGAATTTTAATTCGACTTTAAATTAGACTTTAAATTAGATTTTATTATTTTACTAATATTAATTGGAAAATAAAGCAATACTGATATAAATGCTTATTATTTTATCAAAAAGAAAAAAAACAGATGTCATTATGAAAAGAACTTTACTTAATTTTACATATATGACAGATTTTTGTTTCCTTTTTATTGTACATCCATACACATACTATATATATGTATATATTATGTATACATTTTGCCACTGTAGATATTTCTTATAGACATTAACATCGGATATATTCCATCAAAAAAAATCTATGCAAATTACAAGGTTTATGAAATGAGAGAGTAATTGCAGAACAATATCGCGTGAACACTAGAAGTATAAAATATAGATTTGACGAAAGCTGAATATTATAATAGTTACGTTTAAAAGCTTTGTACAATGCATTTCCTCATACCTCACTTTATTCGCATCACATCTTACTTCCTCTATCATTCGTAGGCCATTAATTACTTTCTTTTTAATCATGCACCTTGTGAAGAATATGTAATGAAACATCGATTTATGCTTCATTCAGTATTACTACAGCAGTGATGTATAACTGTACAAAAAAGGCAATATGTGAATGTATCTGCAAATATAAAATATAAAGAGCAGTGATCTCAGTAATCTGAGATGGTGCTAATCCGTATAAAGATTCATCAGGTACTTCGCATACTCGAAATTTGTGGTACGTTCATAAGCACGTGGCCACCAAAATCTACAGCCGGAAAACGAGAAATCTTTCTTCGAGATCTTGGTTGGACTTTGGCAATTTTGAATGTGCTGGGCTCATTGCCACCGCTGATTCTTGGCGCATGGTATTCTGAAAACGATATTATTCGAATGATGAAGGCACTGTCTGAATTGACAGCATTGATGGAAGTACTATTAAATTTAATATTGTGTAGAATAGGAAGATTACGATTACAGGTTTGATTCTATTATACTATAAATAGTATATTTATACATAATATTAAAATCATATTCTGCAATATATTCTTCCTATGTCAAGATAAATACTGTCCGTTTTTCTTTTTTTTATAAAGAATATAATATAATATAATACACATCTCAAAAAAAATATATGGCTGAGCGCTTATTAAATAAACATGACACTAACACAGTGTACATAAAATAATGTTATATTTCTTTGAAATCTGAATCTTATTAATAAATTATTATTTCTAACAATACTATATTAAAATTTTAAATACGAAATAATTATTTTAATTGTTACAATTAAAATATTTTTTAATATTTTTCACATACGTTTTTCACATACAGAAGCTTTTAGCACACCTGAGAAATTTTCTCAAACATTCCAAGTTGCATGAAAGGCATATTATACAAAAATATATAAATCGTTACTCGGGCTTTTATGCCTTTGTTGGAATATCCTATATTCTGGCAGCAATCACTTTTTCCTGCGGCCCTTTGTTCTTATCGATAAACCTTCCAATGGAAGCTTGGTATCCGTTTTCTACTGAAACTCCCTACACTAGAACGATTCTTTACATTTTGCAAGTCTTCGCCATCTTGCAAACTGGATTCTGTATCACGGTGGATTTCATGATTGCAATATTCTTCTGCTATTCCGCTGCGAGATTGGAAATGCTCGGACAGGAATTGCAGCAAATAACGCATGAAAGTCATGTGAAAACGTGTATCCAAAAACACCAAGAAATAATCAAGTAAGAAATTAATTCTCTTTTGAATATAAATATCGTCAAATTATAGTTTTATATTACGTTGCACAATCTATTAACCATTAATTACTTAAAAGAAATATTGTTTTCTAAATATTCTATTTTCTAAATATATTCTATCATTTAATTTCAAAATTTTTTATTATCGAGTAAAACATATTATGTATTATTTTTATAAGATACAAATTGCATAGTTATGAAATTACTCGTTTAGATTAAAATTATGTAATTAAATTATACATTTTAATATTTTGAATATGCGATAAAAATCTTATCTTAAACTCTTAATAATGTAGCACAAAAAATGCATATAATTATTATCGTAATTAATGTCAATATTAGTTTTGTAGAAGAAGTTCAATATACGGTTCGATATTTAATTTGCAAATCAAATATTACAATGGGCTTTACCATAATTTGCGGAGCTTTTCCGTTAGTTCATGTGAGTAATTACAATATTACTTGTTTATTAATTTTTTGTTTATGTTCTCGAGATATTTAATTATTCTCATAGACAAAATTTAATTAGAAAAAAATTACAATGTTTTTCTTCATTATATATTGCTACATTCTTAACAAAAATAGTAACATTAGTGTAAAATAATAATTGTAATCATATTTTTTCTCTTTCTTTCTATCGTTTTCTTTCGCTTCCTCTTTCTCATTTTGTATAAATATTTATGCATTATTTTCAATAATATACTGATAATTATAAAAATCATACAAACATTTGTTTTTGTATTTTATAGTATAAATAAATAAAACATTATATAAAAAGCGTAAAGTCCAATATTGATTCAATATTGTATATTGTATTTTTACAATATATATCGTTATATTGCATTTTATTATGTTTTATGTATACGTATTTGTTGTCTCGTAACTCTCATCATTTGTCTCAGACATTTATCGCTTTGATCAACACACATGCAAAACATGAATTATTGTAAAATATTCTAAATAAATTTCAAATTTTAAATTATATATATATATATATATATATATATATATATTTATCTAGAAACAACCTGTGGCTGTAACAGCACAATTTATTTGCATGGTATTGGGGGGATGTGAAAGACTTTATATTACGGCTTGGCCGGCAGATGATTTAGCAGAAATTGTAAGTTATTAACAAACAAAATATTTATTCGTAATAACACAATCTTTACTATAATAGAAAATTATATATTAATCATTGTTTTTAGTAAAAACTATAATTAAAAAACACTATAGAGATATATTATTATATTATATATTATTATATTATATATAAGTTAAATTTAGTAAAACATTTTTAATATATACAGGATGTCCCTGAGCATGAACTCACACACTTGTGAGGAGGTAGAGCGCAGTAAATTAAATAAAGAAATCTTATTCCATGTAACGATTTTTGTAAAAATAATCGAAATATTAATTATTGAAGCACGGTCCACTGTGTCAAATATTGCCTGCCAGCGCGCGGCGAAACGTGAAGATGGCGATGGTGATAACCACGAGTAATGGCGCACTGTCCCTCCCTTCCCGCCGATAAATTTCTTTATTTAACTTACTGCACTCTACCTCCTCACAAGTGCGTGAGCTCATGCTCAGGAACACTCTGTATAATAATTTGAATTGTATTGACATTATATCTACGTTGTATTATTTAAGATATATGCACAACTAAATAGATTATATTTATAAAATTTGTTTATCTCTACAACATTTTAGAGTCAACAAATTGCTTGGTCTGCATATAGTATACCTTGGTTTGAAAAATCTCATGAAACAATCACTAATATATTTATCTTTATACAAAGAAGCAAAAAACCACTTTTAATATCTATGGGCGGTATGTTTCCAGTGTTGTCAGTACAATATTATGCTCATGTAAGATATCATGTTATATTAAATCATATTATATCATAAATTTGTTTATATATCAAAGTTTGTTATTATTAATATTTATCTTAATCATATTTATTTATACAAATATATTAAAATACTTATTTATGATACATAATTTAGTTTTCGCATTTTTATAAAAAAAAGAGAAAAAAGAGAAATAAACTATATAATTTTAAATTATTTTTTTGTACAATTAAAATAGCACAACAAATATTTATGAGAACGTAATAAATATTTATTAGATTTTTTTTGTTTTCATTTATATATATTTCATAAGATATATATATTTTATTTTTTCAGTTTCTAAAAACGATTTCATCTTATTTTATGACAATGCGAGCTACAATTGCTGAATAAAGCAATAAGTTATGTAAGCGGTACTTTGCAAAAAATATTAAAACATTAAAATATATTATTATAATGTAATCAAATTTACAAACACACACATATATATATATTTATACATATAAAAATATTCTATAAACATAATATTATATAATATTATTTTATAATTAAAACTAATTTAAATAGAACTATGACTATTAATATATGAGTGATACATCAACTTAACATAATATTTGTGTGTTCGTATAGTGTGTAATATCTATGTGTAGTGTGCTACTTTATTCTATTAAACATTTAATATATTATAATACCATTTGAAGAAGCTTTAGCTTACAAACATTTAATGTTTAATACACATTTTTTAATTTTTAATACACACTTTTTAAAAAATATACATTTATTATTATGATATACTTCAAAAAATTTATCTTGTGTGTATTCGCAGTTTGTAACAACAGTCTTGTCATATTTTACAACAATGAGAGCAGTCATTTCATAAATTCTATAGATAAAGTTAACTATAAAATAAAAGAGAAAGAAAGAAGAAAGATGTTAAAATAAATCTATAGATATATAATTACATATTAGATTGTATTATTTTATTAAATCTTAATTAAAAAATAACAGAAAATATTTTAAAATGAACAGAGAAAATATTTTAGTAAATAAATATTCAAATGTTATCCTCTACAATAACGTTATAATCTTTTTTATTACTAAATCTTTACACACAAATAATGAGTTCTGATTATAAACATTATATCTATGTAAATAATTTTTTCGTAAATTTTAGCGTTTACCTAGTTATAATACATTTGTAGAAAATGAAAATCATTTTTAAACTAAGGTAAAAAAATTGCAATGCGATATAATTTTACGAAAAGATTAATAAATCAACAAATAAAGTAAATAAATTAAATAAATAAATAATAAAGACTAATACTTTATAAACAAAAAATTTGATTTTCTATTAATTAATGCAAATATATAAATAAAATTTAAAGATAAAATTTAATATTTAAATTTTGCAGTTCCCAAAAACGATTTCCTTATGATGATAAAACCAATTGCTGAATAAAGAAATGATTTGTTTAATTGTAAGTTTAAGCGCTACATTTGCGAGAAATACGAAAATATTAAATTCTTTTTTTTCAATTGTTTGTTCTATAATACTTTTCAGAATTTTGCTGCTATATAAATAATAAGTTAGTGTATGGATCAATGTTTTTTATTTACGATTCTATGTTTATAAATAAAATAGCGATCTATATGCGTGCTATTATAAAATTATAAAAATTATGGAGTAGCAGAAGCAATAAAACTGATCAGCAATGTGCATATTTATTATCGAGGGTTTTATGCGTGCTATATATCACACGCATTTTAACTTTATTTCTTATGATCATGGGGATAGAAACTAATAATTACCATGGGAGATCAAACGCTACCCAACAAATAATAAATGCGCTATTGATCGCACCGTTCCGCCTCCAACTATCATTTCTTTTTCTTACAATTTTTCCTTGATGCACTTAATGCTTTGTAGTTATCCAGAATATTTTGTATAGCAAAAATTGATACTACACTATGACAATCATTCAGTTTAAGTTCCAACAGGTATTTTATTTCCTGCGAGTATTAGGAACCATTGCTACACGTGGTCACCTCAACCGGATAGTAGAAAAATCAAGCTGTTCCTTCGTAATTTTTATTATTGCATTGCTATCTTTATATACGTGACAACATGGGTATCAATGGTAATAAATGCATACAAAACTCGAAACAATGATGTGGACGAGTTTATGATGAACTTATCTCATACTCTACTGGATGCTGAATATCTCTACTGGATGCTGAATATCTCTACTGGATGCTACTCTGAATTCAATTCTGTGCACAATTAAGAGAAAACAATTACAGGTAACGATATTTATTATTGGAAATTTTTTTTATATATGCTAATAATTTTTAATAACTATCTTTTTGAGATAATTTTCTCTATTTTGTATTGATCAAATTTTTTTAGTTATATTAATATGATGAAACATAAGCTAATATGAGATAAAGACTTTACAAATGCAAAATATAATTACTAATGAATAAAATGTAATACAATTGAATGTAAATGGAATAGATTAAATGTAATTAATTAATTAAATGTATAATTTTATGTGGAAAAAGTGATTATTTGATTATATAAAACGAGAAATCAAAGATTATAAAAATTAGTCAATATTTGTTTCATTTAACTTTTCTATTAAACATAACTAATTTAATTTATATAACTTTATGTGTATTGCTATAAATAAAATTATGGAGATATATAGAGATAATTATATTAAAGTACCAACTATAAATATATATGTATATATGTATATATGTATATAATTAAATTGTTTTCCAAACTCCTTGTTTTTAAATTTGTCATTATTACTTATTGCAATTCATTTATATAATAATTTTATAAAAATGCAACAAATAAATAACTTCAAATTAACTGCACGTGTATATGTATTTTAAATTATATAGGTAATCCAATTGTAATAGTAACAATGACACAAATTTAAAGATAAAGAGAACAAATTAATTTAATGCATATTTAAATATCTATATAGTGATATATTTATATATTATAATGGTTACAATTAAAATAAGATACACGCAGATCATATTTATTATATGTAACTATTTATTACTTATTCTTATCTTCTTTTATTTTTTTTCTTATTTCTATTTTACTCGTTTTTCGTTTTTAATAAACTTACTGGAAAGATTTATTTAATATCCTTTGGAAGAGTAAATCAGTTTATTGCGTCAGAAATAGTAAATATTTAATTTCAAGTTCTCTGAAGCAATCTTGCATTAGTTTTAAATAAAATAAAAATTTAAAAGAATATTTTCTAAATTTACATACAATAATAGCATGATAAATTACATTAAAAAGTTGTCTCTTTTACATTAAATTTCACAAATATCAAATGTACAAAATATTAATATGCCTAAAATCACAATTGTACACAAAGTATTAACTCTTAAATAGCGAATAATATTGCGGATACGACAGAAACAGAGTCACTTTTGATTCAAACTTTTCTTTGTACACATCCTAGATTATAATTTCATACTACATTTTAATTTACATTTTAATACATACATGCAACATCTGTAAATATTCTTTTTTCCCATAATACTATTTGTACTTGACAACTTACAAAGAATAAAAAAATTTTTAAATAAAAATTATTGATATAATTTTGTTTAACAATGCACACATAAAATATTTACTTCTATTATCGTGTAAGTTTTATATAACATTTTTAAGATATGAATCATAAGATACTTGGCGTTCGCCGATAGAAGGTCGAAAACATCTATAAAAATGATTATTTCTAACTTTTGTTAAACTGTTACTTATATATTTCTTTTATGGATTATTTAAAAGTGTCTTAGAATCTGGTGATACACATCAAGGAATTTATGAATATTTCGAAGGATCGCGAAATAGTTATCTTGCAAAAGTATATAAATCGCCATACATTTATATCGATTGTCGCAATATCCTTTACTATGGCAGGGGTTACTATCATATGTGCCCCTTTATTTACGCCTAAGGAATTTCCTTTGGACACATGGTACCCGTTTTCAGTGGAACCATTGTGGCTAAAATTTATCTGCTACGTCACACATATAGTTTAACGCATACCGTTTTCTGTCTTAATGTAGACATCATTGCTACTTTCTTTTTGTATTCAGCAGCCAGACTGGAGATGTTGGCTTTTGAAATAGAACAAGCTACTGATGAAAAGCATGCCATATTGTGAATTTAAAAACATCAGGAAATAATAGAGTATGTGAGATAGACACAAAATATCTTTTACATATTTCACAAAACATTGTGCACCAATTATCTTCTAATTTTAATTGCAGAAATTTAATTAATCCATATAAAACAAATATGTGTAACTATCGTGTATTTATTTGATATACAAATATGTTTTTTCTCTTGTCCAGGGAAAGGATAAAAATAAGATTAGATTAATTACAGACATGTATATATTATATAAATCTGTAATTATCATATATATAATATATATATGTATATGTATATGTGTATGAATGCACCTATAATGAATCAAAATATACTGTTGTGTAATCTTTTTGTATTTTAAATTTTTATATTTTTGCAAAATTACTTTTGCATGTTTATATATTTATAGAAATGTATAGTAAAAATAAATTGTTAATTATTCTTCTCATATATTATTCCACAGTTGTATAAAGTAAAAGCAACTATTTAAAATCTTTTTCTTTAATCTTACTTTCTTAAAATTTCCATAAATAAAAATATATAAACAGCAGATTTTTTAAATGATTTTTTTCTGCAACTTTCACTTGAATCTAAGCAATAATATGTGAATAAATAAAAATCTTTTAATTATGCTATTATATGTTTCTTCTTTTACTATTATCTTTTATAAATTTATTAATTATATATCTCAATAATGTAATATTTATGACTTTATATTGTTCAATTTACATATTTCTTTATATGAGCAGATTTATTTCAAAAACACAAGAAACTCTTCAACATGTACTTTTCAAAGCTAATTTTACGATGGCATTTGCTGTAATCAGTGGTGGTTTTCCTATATTATATGTAAGCATTTTATTGTATAATGTAAATGTATACAGGTGCATAATATTGAGACTTATAATTTGGAACTTCTAATTTCAAAATTATAGCTAGAATCTTATGTTCAGCTTCCTCAATTTATATCTACGGCTATAGCCGCTTTACAACGAATATATATATCACAGCATCAGCAGCCGATGATTTGAGAGAAGTCGTAAGTTTTCAAAGAAAATAGGATAAAATCATGAAAAGGCTTATAAATATGCATTTATTTTATCATTATTAAATAATCATATTCAATAACATTGATAGCACTGTTAAACTTGTTAATATTTTGTTCCATATCTGTTCCAACATAAGTATGCATTTGATCGAAACAATAAATAAAATAAAATAAGTCAAAAACATCAAGTACATTATCAATTATGATAAAAATTTTTACAGATTATCTACAGAATTTTTAAATAAATGTAAAATATATTATGCATCATACTAGTATTATATGTATATATAATATAAAATAATTATTATAAGCTTGCATGATATAAATTGATTCGGATATAAAACACACATATAAAAATAATTTCAATAATAATATACACAAGAAAAAATAAGATTTAATTTATGATTTGTTTTTATGTACAGAGTACGCAACTTCCTTGGTCGGTATATGGTGCATCATGGATTGGTAAAACGCAAAAAATGAAAAATGACATTTTCATCATGCTTCAAAAAAGCCAGCAACCGTGTTTGATATCTTTAGGTAGCTTATTACCAAATCTTACTCTGAAATATTATCTATTGTGAGAAACGTTTTCTTTTTTTATTAACACACACACACACACACACACACACACATATACATATATATGTATATGTATGTATGTATATGTATGTATATAGTAATACATACTTTTTTAAACAGTATACATTACTTTTAGTATAATAATAATTTTAGTATAATATTTTATAAGATTTATCTTATGTATATTCGCAGTTTGTAACAACAATCTTGTCATATTTTACGACAATGAAAGCAGTAATTGCATAAAGCATATAGATAAAGATAACTTTAAAATAGAAGAGAAAGACAAAGAAGAAATATATAGATATATGTTTAAATTTTAAATTGTATTATTTTATTAGATTTAGATTAAAAAATAATGAGTAGAAAATATTTTAGTAATAAATATTCAAATATTATATCCTTTATAATAATGTATTCATTTTTATCACTAAATATCTTTACTTATAAATAGTGTCAATTTCGGACAATAAACATCGTATCTAAATAAATAATCGATAAGTAACTTTTTGCATTTGCTTAGTTATATTTATTTACAAATAATAAAAATAAAAATCGAAATCTTTTTTTAAGATAAAAAATTTGCAATACTATATAGTTTTACATCGAATAAATAAAGGCTAATATTTTATAAGGTTATATTTTATAGATTTTATTTTAAAAAATTTTATTCTTTTTATATAAGATTTATTGTTTAAATTTTGCAATTTCCAAAAACGGTTTTTCTTATTTTATGACGATGGAAACAATTACTAAATAAAGAAATGGCTTGTCTAAGCACTAGATTTGCGAGAAATATGAACACATTAAATTATTTTTCTTTAATTATTATTTTTTTTATAACACTTTTTGAGAATTATGCTGCTACATAAATAATTAGTGTATAGATCAATTTTTTATTTATGATTTTATACTTAAATAGTGCTTTTAGTTTGTAATAAAACAAAGCAATAAATAAAATAGCAATCTATATGCGTGCTATTATAAAATTATAAAAATTATAGAGTGGAAGAAGCAATAAAACTGACTAACAATGTGCATATTTATTATCGAGGGGTTTATGCGTGCCATATATCACACGTATTTTAACTTTATTTCCTATGGTCATGATAGTAGAAACTAATAATTACCGTGAGAGATCAAACGCTATCCAACAAATAATAAATGCGCTATTGATCGCACCGTTCCGCCTTCAACTATTATTTCTTTTCCAACTAATATTTCCTTGATGCACTAACTAAATACGTATCGTAGTTATTCAGAATATCCTGTAAAAACAAAATTGGTATCAGAATATGGTACTCATTCATCTAAAGTTTCAACAGATATTTCACCTTCTCCGAGTGTTCGGGACCATTACCAATACGTGGCCACCGCATCCAAATATTGGAAAAAACAAGTTGCTTCTTCGTAATTTTTATTACTGCATTAGTATCTTTATATTCGCAACAGTGTGGATAGCAATGTTAATGAATGCATACAAAACTCGAAACAACGATGTCGGCGAGTTAATGAAGAATATATCTCATATGACATCAATAATGGAAGCTATTCTCAATTCAATTTTGTGTACAGTTAAGAGAAAACAACTACAGGTAACGATATTTATTATCGAAAATTTTCTTTTGATACGTGCTAATAATTTTTAATATCTATTTTTTTGAGATATTTTTTTTGTTATATTTTGTATTAAATTGTTAGTTAATAATATATATAATTAATTTCTGGAAACAAGTTAAAATGAAGACTTCACAAATGCTAATCGTAATGCTAATGGATAAAATATAATGGAATGGAATGGAATGTAATTAAGCATTTTATATATTATAATAAAAATAATTATTTTAAATGGAGAGAAAAATCGTCGATTTATAAAAATTTGTAATGTTTACTCTATTCTCTTTTTAAATATAACTAAGAATTTAATTTATGTATTTAATGTAGCTATATCGCTTTCTCCTATTAAAATAAATATAATGCCAATTATAAATATACATACAATTAAATTGTTTTCCATAAAATCCTTATCTTTAAATTTGTCACTATTACTTATTATAGTTAGTTTGTACAATTTTTTCTAAAAATGCAAACAATTAACTGGATGTAAATGTGTAGATAATCCGATTGTAATAGTAACAATGACACAAATCTAAATACAAAGATTTCTTATTTTTATTTCACTCATTTTTGGTTTTAATAAACTACTGGACAGATTTATTGAACAATCTTTGGAAGGTAAACCAGTTTGTTGCTTCAGAAACAGAAAATATTTGATTTCAAGTATTTTGAAGTAATATTGCATTTTATACTTTTAAATAAAATAAAACTTTAATAATTTTTTAAAGTTATATATAATAATAATATGATAAATGACATTAAAAAATAAATTTTTTACAACTTTAAATTTTACAAAATTGTGATTGTAAAGCATTTCTAAGACCATAGTCAAGTATTAAGTCTTAAAAATCAAATGACATAACAATCGCATGTATGGCAGAGGCAAAGTCAATTTTGATCCATAACAAAATTTCTTTTGCACATATTTTAAATTATGATTATATAATATATTTTAATTTTATACGTTTATATAACATTATTAAATATTTTTTATAGTACTATTTGTACTTGACAACTTACAAAGAATGGAAAATATTTCTAAAATAAAATTATTAATATAATTTTATACAATGCACATAAAATACTTATGTCTATTATCGTGTAAGTTTTATATAATATTTCTAAAATATAAATCATGAGTGACTTGGCGGCTGCCGGCTACAGATTGACAAAAATTTACAAAAATAATTATTTCTAACTTTTATTGAACTTTGTTACTTGTATATTTCTTTTGTGGATTATTTAAAATGTGTCTTAGAATCTGGTGATACACATCAAGGAATTTACGGAAATTTTGAAGGATTGCGACAAAATTATCTTGCAAAAATACATAAATCGTTATATTGCATTTATATCGACTGTCGCAATATCCTTCAGTATGGCAGGGATTACTGTCATATGTGCCCCTTTATTTATGCCTTTGGAATTTCCTTTGGATGTATGGTATCCGTTTTCGGTGAAATCATTGTTGCTAAAATTTATTCTCTACATTATGCAGATATTTACAATTGCACACACTGTTTTCTGTCTTAATGTAGACATTATGATTGCTGTTTTCTTTTTGTATTCATCAGCCAGACTAGAGATGTTGGCTTTTAAAATAAAGCGAGCTACTGATAATGATCATGTCATATCATGCATTAAACAACATCAAGAGATAATAGAGTAAGTGAGGTAGATGTAAAATGTATTTTAGATATTTCAAAACATTGTCCATAGAATTGTATACCGATTATCATTCTAATTGAAGAAATTTAATTAATCTGTTCAAAATAAATATGTATAATTGCTGTGTATTTATGATACATAAAACATATTTTTTTCATCTCTTTTCTAGAAAAATAAATTCAATTTTAAAAAATAAATTAAATTAAAAAATAAATTAAATTAATATTTCAAATAATTAATATATATTTTACTAGTATGATTAATGAAACTTTTGTAAAACATTTTTTGATATCTTAAACAATTTCCGAGATACAAAAATAGTCGCAAGCTATTATATATGTATGAGAGAGGAATGATTTATTAGTTCTTACGTATATTTCTTTTTTTATTATCTTTCATGAATTAATATGTCCGCAATAATATCTCTAAGTTCAATTTGCACATTTCTTTATATGAGCAGATTTATTTCAAAAACGCAACAAACTCTTCAACATATACTTTTCAAAACTAATTTCACGATGGCGTTTACTGTAATCAGCGGCAGTTTTCCTATGTTATTTGTAAGCATTTCGTGATATAATGTAAATGTAAGTATATATAAGTGCATAATTAGGACTTATAATTTTGGAATTTTGGAATCACAGCTACAATCTGGTGTTCTGATTCCTCAATTTATATCTATGGCTCTGGGCGCTTTACAACGAATGTTTATCACAGCATGGGCAGCAGATGATTTGAGAGAAATCGTAAGTTGTTTAAAAAGATATTAAAACATTCTTATTGCCAATCTTTTTCTATTTATAATAAAATAATTATGATAAATTATAAACATGCACTTTTATTTAAATATGTTATTTTGCTATTATACCATATTCCTTATTTGGCGACATTTTCATATTTTATTTTTATCTGTTTAATATTCTTAAGCTATTAAACTCAAAGTTGTATTCGTCAAAATATTAATTTATATTACTCTTTGAAAGAATAAATAAAATAAAAAATAAAATAAGAAATAAAATAAGAAAAAGGACTCTGTACATTTTATATGAAAAAAATGGCTTCGGCCACATTGGTTAAAATTAAAATATGTTGTAGTTTAGGTAGTTGATAAAAAATTTCCTCCAATAAAAAATTTGAACAAAAAATTTGAAAATTAAAAATATAAGAGATATAGGCATAAGTGATGATTTGAAGTGAGTGATATTGAAGCTTAAGAAACGCCTTTTTGAATGGATTAAATTAATATATAAATAATATTCAAACACACATATGTACATGTATTAAATTTCTTTACACAAAAAAAAATGAAATTTAATTCATGATATGCTTTTATTTATAGAGTACACGACTTTCTTGGTCGATATATAGTGCATCATGGATTGGTAAAACACGAAAAATGAAAAATGACATTTTTATAATGCTTCAAAAAAGTCGACGACCGTGTTTGATATTTATGAATGGTTTATTACCCGCTCTTACTCTTGAATATTATGCCAATGTGAGAAATATTTTTTTTAAATGAAAATTATATTATTTTTAAATTTTTAACATAAAATTTCAAAAGATTTACATTGTGTGTGTTTGCAGTTTGTCACCACAGTTTTGTCATATTTTATGACCATGAGAGTAGTTATTGCCTCATAAATTCTATAATTAAGGATAATTATAAAATAGAAGAAAAAAGAAAAGAGAGATAGAGATAAAATGATAAAAAAATGTACATTAGATATACATTATGATTTGAAACTGTATTACCTTATTTTATTACTAATGACAAGTTGTATTTAATAACATATTATTTATATTTTTCTTTAATTTAGTAAATCAGAATTTATATAATTATATAAGAATATAATTTACTAATAAAATATAATCACACACACACACACATATATATATATATATATATATACATTTTTTATTAGAAATGGAAAAATAATAAAAAAGATTTTTTAGCATCATATATTCAAATTTTGTGCTTTAAATGTTGTAATTGCATTTATCTTATAAGAGTAAATATCTTTATGTACAAATAAGCTTCACATGATACATAATGTATCTATATCAGTTATCGATAAATAGGGTTTTTGTGTTTGTCGATACGTTCTAATCTACAGCGAATTATAATAGTTTTCTTTAAAAATTTTCTTAAAAATTTAAATTCTTCAACATTTTTTAAAAATTTAAAATACTGTATGATTGATTGTATAATATTTTTGCATATATTTTGATAGATTTATTTTTGATAGATTTTGATAGATTTATTTAACAGTATTGCTTTCTACTGCATAAAATTAATCAGCTATATGAAAAGTTAATAAATCAAATACGAGGAATTCATGAATTTGACATTGTGTAAAAACGCTTTTAGTCTTTTAAAATATAAAATTAATAATTAATTTGTGTGAATTAAAATAAAGATATGTAAAGAAATAATAATTAATATTTTATAAAATAAGAATTTTGATGTTTTATTGATTAATACAAACCATAATATTTCGAAGAGAGTATTATCTCAAGAACATAATCTTAATGTTAATTTACATCAATAGATTAATACGCAAATATATGTTTGCTTGTTTATCATCGAATATCACTACGGCACAAAGTCAGAAGAAATCTATTTGCCTTAACAAAAAGATATATAACACTTCCTCGAACAATCAAATAACTGTTAATGCCGAGAATAATATTTAATGAATTAAGTGCGGAAGTTTCATAATAGTCCAGATATCATATCTTTACTATCGCTTCATTGTAACTTGTGTGTGTGTGTGTTGTGTGTTATTATCCTTACACATAGATGCAATTCTAACCAAGGGTATGATTATGCCAGTCTAAAGGGATACTTTATTCATTAACAAGCTAGTTTCCGAGCTTCGCGTGTGAAATTATAGTACCTTTCAAAATCGATATATATGTAATCATATTTGATTTTCTTAATAATAAACAAATATTCAGAAAATATTTCTGTGTAAAATTTTGACTTACATGAATAAGTTGATTAACCTATAATTCAAATAGGAATTTATATAGGAATAGCTATAAGATGCTATAGAAACCTTTCAGTACAATCATGATTTATGTGGATACACCTGTACACTTACTTTACGGATAATTCTCGTTAGGTTCTCCTTTTTGCTTTTGCAATGCGCAAACGCAAAATGTTACGAAGGAAATTCATTAGGCATATGAGAGAAAGTGCAAGGAAAATTTATCACGGATAACCAATGTATTCTCTGTGCTGATAACGTGTTTACGAAGTACAACGACTACATTATGGCAATGAAAATTACGCCAGTCAAAGCTATACTCTTTATGAAAATGAGCGTAGCATTGTCGTGCACTTGGCCGCCGTCACCAAAAATAACGAAATCTAATACTATCCTTTTTAAAGCTTGTTGGTATATATGTTACTTCTGCAGTATCTTATTGTTACTTCCACTGTTAAGCTCAGTTTATGAGTATCGTGACGATCCCGTGATTTTAGCAAAGTCAGTGTGCCTTTCTTGTGCGGTCCTTCAAGTCACAATTAAAATGATAGTATGTCGCATACAATATACTTCCTTTCAAGTATGTATTACATAATTAAATAAAATTTAACATATATTTGCATATTCAAAAAGAAATACATAAGTTTTACAGGCGAATTATTTATAACACACACAATAGTGATGTATGATGTATGATGTATAATGCATGAGTAATCTTGTAAAACGAATTGTAATTTTGAAAAATTATCCTTTGTTTTTTATGAAAAGATTGATGTAAAACATTTTAAATAATTACAAATAAATATATGTGGATAATGATTTGACGTAGATCTAATTTAGTCGAGATAACATTAAAATAACATAAATAATTATTTAAAAATTTGCACTTTATAAATAATCTTAATTTTCAATGTATTATAAAATTAAATGTTAAAAAATTTCACAGTCTATATTTTAATTTTATGTATACGCTTATGCCAAATGGTAATTTGTTCTAGTTTTGTCAAATCATAAATTAATTAAAATCATTAATTAGTTATATATGTATCAAAATATTTTTATCTAAATTAGTATATTCTTAAAAAAAATTAAAACATTTTAAATTTTAAATTTCATTAAACATGTTTTTGGCATAATTATTTTATATTATAATAACACTAATGCATAAAAGTAATATATTTTCATTTATTAGAGATAAATTAATTATTGTAAATATAAAAATTAATTTTTGTAATAATATTTAATACAAATTATTTATAGTGCGTATAATTTCAGATGCTTTATCATGACATGGAAACGTTTTGTAAGCAGGCGGATGATAAAACAAATATTACTTTGCAACGTTATATTGACAATTACAAATGTACATACGGTAGTTATATTTTATGGTGTTATCTGACCGCCATTGGCGTCATTTGCGGGCCATTATTTCTTCCGCAACAATTTCCAACTGATGCAAAATATCCGTTTTCTGTGGAACATCATCCGGTAAAAAGTATTATTTATTTACATCAGTCATTAGTCGGTTTACAAGCCTCGGCTGGAATGTGTATCGATTGCAGTGTAGCGATTCTTTTATTCTATTCCGCGGCAAGATTAGAAATGTTGGTCCAAGAGATACGCAATGCCAAAAGTGAGTGCGAACTCGATGCATGCATTAAACTACATGGTGAAATATTAAAGTGAGAATTTATTATTTATCTAATTTTTATAATTATCAAAATTCAATTATCAAATTTATTATTATAAATATGTATATGCATCTTACATACATAATACTACGTGTGTGTGTGTATGTGTACATTATGCATTATTAAAAATGTTTTAAAAAAAGACTTGCAGATGCATATATATATATATATATATATTCATATGGATATAAAAACATTAATATATGTAAGATCAATAGAAGATAAAATGGAGTGATATATAATTAATAATAAATTGTCAATCTGAAAGTCTTTTCTATTTTTATCTAATTAATAATATATATAATATAATGCAGAAATAAAAAATGCAGAAATGAAAAAATACTATAGCTATATTTTGTGTCAAAATTTAATTTGTATATATAATATATAATTACTATAAAACGCGCGTTATTTAGTAATATGGCATTTTTATAACTGTATAATAAAATAACTCTCCTATTCTGTATATAACAAATATATATCACCGAGATGAAACTCCCTCTATTCTGAAAATTCTTATTTTAAACATAATTAGATGTTTACATGATAAATGTAAAATGAAAACATAAAAACAACATAAAAATTTTTTTTTTACTTTAAAGAATGATAACTATTTCATAATGAGAAAAATTAACAAAAACAAAATAGAAAAGTATCTTGTACTCTATGCTAAATGCTATTTTTTTTAATTAAATAATTTTCAGATATATTAGCAAAATGATTAGCGTTGTGCGACCTTTGGTCTTGACTACAATAACAATGACAACTATGGGTGTTGTTTTTGGAAGTTTAAATATAATCACTGTAAGTTATTTTATTCACGTGAATTATTTTATTTAATATAAAATCTCTTTTGAATTTCTTGAATCAAACTTGACAAAAAGACATCAGAGATCTTCTAAATAATATAAAAACATCTTTAAATATTATATTGAATTATTAATATTATATTGAATTTCAAGAAGAGATGTGTGTGTGGTTTATTTTTAATAAATAGGAACAACCAACAATTGTCAAGATACAATATTCCATCGTAGTGTTTAGTGCCGGTGTAGAACTCTTCATGTGCGCTTTTCCAGCTGATAATTTAATGCATATGGTAATATTCTTTAATTAAAAATTAGATTGATTAAAATTTGTTTTAGATAAAAAATTGCGATAAAAATTTTTGCTTTTCCTCATAGAACAGCAGAATATGCCTTGGAGCGTATGAGTCGAAATGGTTTCAAAGAAGTGTAAGCATGCAAAGAAAAATTGTTCAAATTATTTTCAGGTCACAGAAACCTGAAGTTATTCGAATTAATGGCATTCTTCCAGCTTTGTCATTACGTTATTACGCAAGGGTAAAGATCACATATATTTTTATACATATTTTGAAATTTTTGCTTCATTAACTCAGCATCTCTAACACTCATTTAATCTTGTACTGATCCTTTTGAACACTTTGTATATGTATATAATTACAGTTTACTAATAACAATTTTTGTGTTCTATTATATAAGAGCAAAAATTTTATTAAGCATCTAATTATAATTATAGCTATAGAAGATAATAAAAAAATTTGTTTATTGTAGTTTTTGTATACATCCTATTCCTACTTTACTGCAGTACGCATAATGGTCAATGAAAAGATCATAGATTAAATCAAGGATAAATATTTTGAAACACATGATAAATTTATCTTGTTAACATTTTTGCATGTTATAAGAATTAAATTATTCATATTGTTGAACATGTAAATGTAACACTGAAAATAATACAGTAAAATAAATAATTCTATTTGATTCTTTGCAAACATTGCGTATATTTAATTATATTATTTGATTTTGCCCTTTTATTCCATAAAATTCAATATCAATCATGATCAAGTTATCAAAAAGTTTCTTATAAAATTACGTTTACAATTTTCTTTATTAAATCTGTTTATTATATAATTATAATTCCTTAAATTAGTTTTTTGATATGTATTGCTACGGATTCTCTTCTCTAATATTTAGAAAAAAATGTTCTACGATTTCTGTACATACTTCATGATAAAAAACTTATTATTTTGATTTTATAAGAAAAACTAAAAAACAAAATTAAGAAAAGTAAATTTATTCATAAAAATTAAAAATTAAATTCTAATAAAAATACTTTTTATTTACTAAATTAAATCTGCTTACATATACAGGGTGGCCCAGAACGTTCCAGCCAGACTTTGAGATCTTATAGAAAATTTAATTCTGAACAAAAAATTTCCTATATCCATTATATAAACAAAACTAGATTTTTAGAAATACCGTATATCATTCAGTGTATATAACACTCGCATATCTTTCTTTCTACACATGTTCATTTCACATGAGATATGTGTTTTGAATTATAAAATATGTAAAAGATAATGTTGAGGTTGCATGCTCAGTTATAAGGGGGAACGCCTTATGGCACTTACAAGCAGAAATACCTTATTACGATATCTAGAATAAGAGTCAAGAAAAACACTTGAGAAAAGTGATAGATCATTTACGATATTTTTATGGTTTCGTTCTATATAATATTTAGAATATGCGAATGCGTAGTATATTTTACAGATATTTATTATTCTGTATTTTTATTTTATTGTCTATGGCGGAAGTTTATATTTAGGATATGCGAATGCGTAGTATATTTTACAGATATGGATATTTTACAGATATGGAGCTAATTTTCAATTCGTATTTATTATTCTGTATTTTTATTTTATTGTCTATGGCGGAAGTTTTTATTTATTAAACCTGAACGCATAGCACCTCTTATCATATAATAATTTTATCGATACATATTCTATAAGTGTGCGAAATGGAAATGTACAAGAATATATAAAATATATTCTTTTTAGCTATATGTCCATTTATCACATTATCTTTGCAAGTACAACCATCCATCTAATGGTTTTTCTCTAGAAGTATATATTTCAAATAATAATTAATATTTTTTCATACCAGTACATGAGATACAAAACAGGTTAATCATGCGTGGAAAAATGATGTTACAAAAAGTTATATTTTATGTAAAGTTAAGTTTATCTCCAATTTGATGTTGGCCATTATCAAAAGATGCTTCAAGATTGGAAATGACTTGCGTGAAACTATATCATTATTTAAGCATTATTTTAATAATGATGTTACAACCATCATTGATATATACTATCAGAAATCATTTTGACGACTTTTTAATCTTAATAGAATGTATTCTTGAACTAAGCAGCACTATTCACAGTATGGCAAATTTTATCTTCTACAGAATTAATAAACATCGTATACAAGTAATTGTTATCCATGTGCATTTAACATCGGAAAATGCGAATTAGTAAAGTAATCTCGATTTACTACTTTATTCTTTTATATCAATATGTACAATTATTTGTAGCATGTCACTTTCGAAATGATACATTTTTCTGAAGTAATTAAGCCACACGAAGAAAAAATTATTCAACGATACATTGATAAATGTGTTATATTTCACGGTGCATCTATATTAATTTTTTATGTAGCTGGGATAATTTTCAATATTACACCTATTGTAACGAATCAACCATTTCCAATGTTAGCTGAATATCCATTCAGTGTATATTATCAGCCGCTAAAATCTATTATATATCTACATCACAGTGTGGTCGGAGTGCAAATAGCAGCGCAATTATGTACCAATATTTTTATGGCTCTTTTACTTTGGTTTGCATCCGCAAGATTTGAGATATTGATCGATGAGCTACGGAAAACCACCGATGTGTATAATTTGGCCAAATGTATTAGAAAGCATCAGTATTTACACAAATGAATACCGTCTCCTTTAAACAATTGCAAACATTAATGCTTGACGATTGTATTTCCATTATATGTTTTTCCATTTATTCATAAAATCTCTATAAATACTAATAAACATTAATAATTATATTATTGCATACATCATGTCATTTGAAAGACATTTAAGTATTGTGAAAATTTTAAATAGTTAACACATATATTTTTTTAGATATGCAACTAAAATTACTCTTGCTGCTCGTCCTTTCGCACTAATAACTACATGTTGTAGTACAGTTTGCACGGTAATAATCTGTCTTTTTCTTCTTACCGTAAGTACATGCTTTGTCAAGAAAAGTTATTCTCTTAAATTTTTTCTACAAGTTATTCTTTTATAAATTTTTATATATGATTATAAATATCAAAATTATTGATTTTACTTAAGATATTAAAATATAATTTGTATACAACGATATGTGCAATATGAAAACGATTCTCATTTTGACATAATACAATCTAATAATTATTTTTATTTTAATAAAATAAAATCATAAAACTATAGCTTTTAGTTTTCTAATTATATATACATATATATATATATATATATATATATATATATATATATAAGCATTATTAAACTAATAAAAAATAAATTATTTTTCTCTATATAATAACATTTCGATTAGTTAAGTTACTTTATAAAAGGAATATTAAATTCTACATCAATATAATATTATATTAATTATTAATATTATATTATATTTATCTATTTTTATCAATAAGTCGAATAAGCGTCTAAGACATCTTATAGATGTCTAACAGACGTTTATTAAATGTCTATCCGATTTGTCATTTCTCACTGGCTATAAATATATATTTTAGAAATTGATATTGATTTATTTGTGCTTATAAGAAATATCATTCAATTAATTAATCAACAAATTTTAATAGAAAGAATATAAAAAAAAATGTATCAAATTTAACCTATTTTAACAATTGCTTAAACAGAATCAATCAAAGGAATCCCTGACAATAACAGCCAAACAATTCGGTTTCGTTTTAAGCTGTTTTTCAGAAGTATTTATGTATACATGGCCAGCAGAACATTTAATTTACAAAGTAAGTTGTATTTATGGCTAAAAATTATTATAAATAATTCTATGCATGTTTGTTATTCTTTTCAGAGCCAAGACGTCGCACAGGCAGCTTTCGATACACCGTGGTATAATCAATTGAAGTACGCAGATGCCTACAAATTATTATACGAAGAAGTCAAAAATCATTAACGATTGCAATAGCTTGTATTATGCCCATATTATCTCTCAGTTATTTTGCATCGGTAAGAAAGATTTAGAATTAATCAAATTGATTAAAAATATCTCTATCATATAGATCGTATCAGTTATTTAGTTATCATCATATACAATTTTGTTCAGAAAGTTTATTGATATTTTATTAACTAATATTTGATTTGACATTTTATTAAATATTTGATTAATATAAACTATTCTATAATTATAAAGATATAAAAATGTATACAAATTTTTTTACATTATCAATACGATTAAAACTTATCTACATTTATCCTCATATGTTCCAGTACTGTTCGTCTGTAGTCTCTTTTTTCACAACGTTTCGAGTATTTCTAAATAATGAAAACTAAAAACAAATATTACGTAGAGATAATATTGTAACACACACACTTAATGTTTACACGAAGAAAAATTTATATAATGTCATATTATATAAAATTTAATATATAAATATATTAATATATAAATATATTTAATATATAAATTTCTGAATTAGCAAATTATTTTGTTTCATTTCAAAATTACTATATAATAATAAAAATAGTTAAATATATAAATATAGTTACCATATAAATATAGTTATACATTCTCATTACAGATTTAGATATTATGTTATAAAATATAACAGTACATTCTATCCATCTTTGATACTAATAATGTATTTTTATATTTTATTATATTTAGGAAAAATATACAAAATATATATCTAATATTGCCACATACGTCAATAAATATCGCATTGATCAAGTGTTTAAAAATGTAATTATTCTTTAATATATTAACAATATATATAATATATTTTACAAGTACATAATTCAAAAATATATTCCATAGTCAATTTTTATTAATTTACTATTTTATTGCGATAATAATTGTGACATCCTTACGGATTAATCGTTCTCTATCTCGTTTAAATATTTATTTATTGTGCTTTATTAACTGCTAAAGGTTATCTCATATGCACCGTAATGTGTGATTGTATTAATATAACATCGGTAATAGAAATATGATGGGAAGAAGGTAATTACATCGTCATTCTCGATAAGTCTCATACATACCTTAAATTATTACACTTCATTCTATGTGGGTGAAAATTTGCTTGATTGTGAACAGCAGTACGTATTAATTTAAGAGTCTTTCATTTATTCTCATTACAGATAAAAATTATATGCTTTAATTTTAATTAAAAGATACAACTTGCTCCAAAATATTCTGTCTTCAAAAATTATAACACTCAAGTATATATGTCACTGCATAGTTGACAACTCACTTTTCTGTAGAATTACAATATTGTCTTTCTCAAAATGCGCAGCAACATACGAGTATACTATATAAAAAAAAACTCGATTCTTCTGGAAATACTATATATCATTCAGTGTAACGTACACACATCTTATTTCCTACACATGTTCATTTCACATGAGATATGTGTTTCGAATTATAAAATATGTAAGAGATAATGTTGAGGTTGCATGTTCAGTTATAAGCGGGAACGCCTTATGGCACTTACAAGCAGAAACATCTTATTACGATATCTACAAAAATCAAGAAAAACACTTCAGAAATGTGATTTACGATATTTTATGGTTTCGTTTCCATATAATATTTGAGATATGCGAATGCCTAATATACTTTTCAGATATGATAGCTAATTTTTAATTCGCATTTATTATTCTGTACTTTTATTTTATCGTCTATGCGGAAGTTTTTATTTGTTAAAATTGAACGTATAGTACTTCTTATCGCATAATAATTTTATCGATGCATATCTACAAGTGTGCAAAACAGAAATGTACAAGAATGTACAAAATGTATTCTCTTTAGCTATATGTACATTTATCACAATATCTTTGCAAATACAACCATCCATCTAATGGTTTTTCTCTAGAAGTTCTCTAGAAGCAAAACATGTTAATCATGCGTGGAAAAATGATGTTACAGAAAGTTATATTTTATGTAAAGTTAAGTTTGTCTCCAACTTGGTGTTGGCCACTATCAAAAGATGCTACAAGATTGGAAATGATCTGTGTGAAACTATATCATTATTTAAGCATTATTTTAGCAATAATATCACAACCACCATTGATATATACTATCAGAAATCATCTTGACGACTTTTTAATTTTAGTAGAATGTATTCTTCAACTAAGCAGCACTATTCACAGTATAGCAAATTTTATCTTCTACAGAATTAATAAACATCGTATACAGGTAATTGTTATCCTTGCATTTAACATGGAAAAATTAGTTAAGTAATCTCGTTTTTTTGCTTTATTTTTTTATATCAATAATATGTACAATTATTTGTAGTATGTCACTTTCGAAATGATACATTTTTCTGAAGTGATTAAGCCACACGAAGATATAATTATTCAACGATACGTTGATAAATGTGTTATATTTCACGGTGCATCTATATTAACGTTCTATGTGGCTGCGTTAATAGTCATTATTGGTATACCTATTCTAACGAATCAACCGTTTCCAATGTTAGCTGAATATCCATTTAATACACATTATCACCCGTTAAAATCTATTATATATCTGCATCATAGTGTGGTCGGAATGCACATAACAGCGCAATTATGTACCAATGTTTTCATGGCTCTTTTACTTTGGTTTACATCCGCAAGATTTGAGATGTTGACCGATGAGTTACGGGAAACCTCCAATGTATATCATTTGGCCAAGTGTATTAGAAAACATCAGTTCTTACTCAAGTAAATATCGTTCTTTTTATACAATTGCAAACATTAATTGCCTGACGATTTTATTTCCATTATATATTTTCCATTTATTCATAAAATAATATATAACGGACAACAATATAGTTATACTATATTGTTGTCCGTTATATATGTATAAATGGAAAAACATTACAAATCGCTGTGTGAATGCGAATATATTAAGAATCATATTATTGCATATATTATATGATTGAAAAAATATTTAAGTATTGTGAAAATTTTAAATGATTAACACATATATAAATTTATTTAGATATGCAACTGAAATTATTCTTGCTGTTCGTCCTTTCGCACTAATAGCTATATGTTGTAGTACAGTTTGCATGGTGATACTCTGTCTTTTATTTCTTTCCGTAAGTACATGCTTTATTGAGAAAAGTTAGTTCTCTCAAATTTTTTCTGGAAGTTATTTTTTTATAGAATTTTATATGCGATTATAAATATCAAAATTATCGACTTAAGAAATTAAAATATAATTTGTATACAACACAATATGAAAACGATTCTGATTTTAACATAATACAATCTAACAATTATTTTGATTTTAATAAAATAAAAGGATAAAATTATAGCTTTTAGTTTCTTAATTGTATATATATGTGTATATATATGCATTTTTAAACTTATAATAAAAAATAAATTATTTTTTTTGTATAATAATAACATTTCGACTAGTTAAGTTACTTTATAAAAGGGATATTAAATTGTATATTAAAGTAATATTATATTTATTAATATTTATTAATATTGTATTATATTTACCTATTTTTATTAATAATTAAAACATAATTAAGTTGAATAAACTAAGACGTCTTATAAGTATCTAATAAATGTCTATTAAATGTCTATCTGATTTGTCATTTCTCACTGGCTATAGATATATATTTTATTATAGAAATAGATATTTATTTATTTTTGCATATAAGAAATGTAATTCAATTAACAATAATTCAACAAATTTTAATATGAAAAATATAAATAATGATGATAAAATTTCACTTATTTTAACAAATTGTTTAAACAGAATCAATCAACAGGATTTCTGATAATAGCCAAAATTATCGGTTTAATTTTAAGCGGCTTATCAGAAGTATTTATGTATACATGGCCAGCAGAACATTTAATTTACAAAGTAAGTTGTATTTATGACTAAAAATTATTATAAATAATTCTATTCATGTTTCTTATTCTTTTCAGAGCCAAGATGTCGCACAAGCAGCGTTCGATACACCGTGGTACGATCGATCAATTGAAGTACGCAGATGTCTACAAATTATTATACGAAGAAGTCAAAAACCATTAACGATTGCAATAGCTTGTATTATGCCTACATTATCTCTCAGTTATTTTGCATCGGTAAGAAAGATTTAGAATTGATCGAATTGATTAAAAATATCTCTATCATATCGATCAATTATTTAGTTATCATCATATATAATTCTGATCAAAATGTTTATTGATATTTTATTAACTAATATTTGATTTAATATTTTATTAAATATTTGATTAATATAAACTATTCTATAATTATAAAGATATAAAAATATATATAAATGTCTTTGTATTATCAACACGTTTAAATCTTATCTACGCATTTATCCTCATATGTTCCAGTACTGTTCGTCTATAGTCTCTTTTTTCACAACGTTTCGAATATTTTTAAATGATGAAAAGTAAAAACAAACATTACATAGAGATAATATATCATTGTAACACACACAATTGATGTTTACACGAAGAAAAATTTATATAATGTAATACACACTATTGATGTTTACACGAAGAAAAATTTATATAATGTCATATTATATAAAATTTATTATATAAATATAAATTTCTGAATTAGCAAATTATTTTGTTTCATTTCAAAAGTACTATAAATATATAGTTATATATCTTTATTACAGATTTAGATATGTTGTTATGAAATGTAACAGTACATTGTATCCATCTTTGATACTAATAATGCTTATTTTTTTATTTTTATATTTTATTATATTTAGGAAAAACAACATATTTTATTTACTTAATATGCAAAATATATATCTAATATTGCCACATACGTCAGTAAATATCGCAGATGATAACAATTATAACATATCAACCGTTTCCATCGTTAGCTGAATATCCGTTCAATGTATATTATCAGCCAAGATAACGTTGAGTACAGGATGTTTCCGCAACATACACATCATTAAGTCGGGATGCTCATTATCAGAGGCATACTTTATTAGACTCGCTGAATAAGATTAAAATGAGAGTTCAATGGGGAGTAAGGAAAGAGAAATCTTATCATTTTATTATAGTAAATAATTGTAAAATTTAACAATATAGATAAAATATATATTTAATAATATATATTATATATTTATATGTAATATATTTTTAATAATATAGATAATAATAATATAGATAAAATACTCAATTCTAATAAATTGACAAATTTGATAATTTAATAACACATTATTACATTTAATTATAATATTTAATAATAAATATTGATATATATTAATATATATTAACATATATTAATAACGTAAATTTAATAAATAAATTTGAACAAATATAGTAAAAATTTGAACAAATATAATATATAAATGTAAAAAATATAATAAACAAATATAATAAAATATACTTTATCTAATAACAAATATTTTACCTCTTCAATGATAAATTTCATGGAAATATTATTAATAATCATATAATGTTATTAATAATCATATAATGAATATTGAAATAGTGATTGAGTTAATAAAATTTCCATTTTTAAATGTAGTTTTAATATTTAAACTTTTAACAAATATAAAAAACATAATTCATAGAAACATAAAAAACATTTCTATTCTATCTCGTATTGCTGCCCCCCGATGACAAAAAATAATAATGTATGATATTTTTAAAAAAATATTATTGTAAATAATATAATATTACAAACAATTTGCAAATATTTTAATAAAAAAATAGAATTATTTATAAATTGCTAGATTTTTCAAGAGCAGGCAAAAAAGTTGCGAAAAGCCAGCAAAGCCTGCTCTTGCCCTCTCCTCCCTGGCTACGCCCCTGTGTATATTTTGTAATGATGTAATCACACATTTATTTTATATAGATAAATATATGATATTTCTGCAAAGGTATAATGTGTAAGAGATTTAATGTTCACTAATACTTTTTTATCCACAGTGGATTAATTATTCGAAAAATTTAGAACATTATTTAATAATCAATTTTAATACTTTCCAGTCAACTTTTTGCAAAAAGATAATTATTTATTTCATTGTTATGTAAATTCTTTTTAATCTGTCTCTTTTAATCTATCTACGTAAAATAAAAAATTTTGCTAAAGATAAAATTATTATTTATAACAACAAGACTATGATCAGTTTTTTAAATTTAAATAAACTAAATTTTTTAATAGCTACAAAAAATTATCTTATACATATAAATATTAAATATTAAATCCACTTTAAATTGTTTTGTCTCAAAAAATTCACTTTTTTATTCACATTTTAAAACAATGCTATTGTTGTTTAATAAATAGAATATATTTATTTATAAACGATTGCCATTCCAGAAGAAACAAAAAAATTTATTTACTTTAATAAAAAAAGTCATATGGTATTATATTTGATACAGAAAAATCAATAATAAGTTATATTGTAATATTGCATTGTAATTATAGTGTAAGTTTGTTAGCTTTAGTTATTATTAGATACATAAAAATTGTATTAATGCCTAAAATTGTATAGTGAAATCATTAATTCTCTATTTTATTCCTTCAACAAATATTGTACATATTATAGTATGTATTATATTATTATATTATATTTAAGTTTACGTTTATTGCGTAACATCAATTTATATTGCTTAATTACCAATTCATATTTAAAAAAAAACAGCTGTAATTTCAAATATCTCACTATTGACACTTTCTGATATTTTAGCAAAACTCCCATGTGTTGTATGATATGTATACATTAATAGTGCGTTTCATTTTTTTTTCTTATAAGTTTCTTGTACAGAACTTAATTTATTATGAAAGTAGTCTATAGAAATGATATATGATTATTTGAATTGATAACATGCAGTTGTTTCAATGAAGCCTATAGAAGTATTAGCAAATAATAGAAATGCACAAATATTCACATGCATGTTATTTGTAATGATTTATGTAATAAGTTATTTCTTTTATACCTTCACATAAACCAGTGTATTATATCGATGAATAGGAAACGAATAATGCAGAAAACTTTCTATTACATATGCGCGTGCATAATCATAGTTAAAGTTCAATGCAGCATTATTGATATTTTTCGACGTAAAAAAATCAATGTAAAAATGTATTATTTCCCTCTATGTTTTTTATTGTACATCTCAGATATTGACAGCTGTTTCAGTTGGCCATAAGATGTCGAGAAAGCTAACACTAGAAAATGTTATCACTTTTACAAAATTGAGTTTAGTTATATCCCTTTCATGGCCACTACCGGCAACCGCTACGAAGCGACAAGTAGTTCGTTTTAGGTTGTTACGTTTTTTAACTTACATGAACATATGGTGTCTTTTTGTACCGTTGTCCATGACCCTTCAAGATTGGAGTGATCATTCCGACATTTGCATCAAATCGATCCCATTAATCGCTGGTAGTGCTCAAGCTTTTATAGAGATGTGGATATGTCACGGACAACATAAACATCTCCAAGTAAGATTCTAAATAAAAACAGTAATTTTTTTTTTCATAAGTTTTGTTTCTTTTTTAGTTTATATGTATAAATATACAATTTAATTACAATATATTTATCATTATGATATTTGTTTATTCCCGATCATTATAATTCTTTGATACTTTTATAAATGTATATATATACATTTCATACATATATTTTAATTAAAAATTATTAATTATACATCTAAAAAATAATCATAACTTATTTATTACACTTAAATAGTTCAAAATCATAATTTATAATAATTATATTATTATTCATTGAACAGTTTTTAATTACTTTAATAATTAAAAATTAAAATACATTAAAATTAATATTCTGAAATATTATTATATGATAATTTGAATTATAAAATATAATATATAAATATAAATTTTATAATATATAAATAATATATAAATAATATATAAATTTTCTATCAAAGCACAAATGATATATTGCAGTTATTAATCGCTGAAATGGAAAGCTACTGTAAACATGCTATAGGTTACGAAAAAGATATCTTACAACAGTATGTCGACAGATACGCGATGTTTTATGCTACAGCTGCGATGTGGTTTTATCTAACAGCGTTTGCTGTTGTGTGCAGTCCACCATTTTCATCTGATACTTTCCCAACGTATGCTAAATATCCATTCAACGTAAATTATCAGCCATTGAAAACAGTCATTTACGTACAGCAGAGTACTGTTGGCATACAGATGGCATCAGTTTTATGTATCAATATTCTTATTGCACTTTTACTTTGGTTTGCTTCAGCTAGGTTTGATATGTTGTGCAATGAATTACGAATGATATCAAATGTTTACGAACTGACACAGTGCATTCGGAAGCATCAACAAGTGTTAAGGCACGATTATAAATATAATTATTTAATTAATGTAATTAATCCTTAATTTTATAATAAGCAGTTTCATCAATTAGAATCTTAAAAAAGCAAAAGGAAAATATGTATTTTGAAAAATTATTTATATTTTATATGTAATTTATTTTGGATTTATTGATAAGATTGTAATTTATCATTATAAAATATGAATATTATATAAATTTACAGATATGCAAATGATGTAACTCACTCTGTTCGTTTTTTGGTTCTGACAATAGTAGGATGTAGTGCAGCGGCAATACTATTCGTCGGTCTCACTCTTGTCAGTCTTGTAAGTAATACACTATTTAAAAAAATGAAACAAAAGCTTATTCAATTGTTTTATTCCTTTCGCTTCTTTGAAATAATATTATTATAGTCTTATTATTCTTAGTTATTCTAATTATTATATAATATATGTCAAATGCATTTTAAATGTTTCCTTTAACTATAAATTCTTTTAACTATAAATTATTTAATGAAATTTGAATCAGCTATTTTTTAAGAAAATTGGAAGAAATTTTTTTCATCGCCTTTTTAAATTTTAAAATTTTTAATATTTTTCAATTTTTAATATTTTACTAACCAAACTTTTCAAGATAAAATTCCATTCAAATAAAGTCAAATAAGTTCTAAATGAAATTATTTGACTTTACTTAGATTATTTTAATTGATAGCTTTACAGTTCTATTTTTAAAAAATTATTTATTGTCAATCATTTCTAAAACTGATATCTTGTTATGTTTATGTAAAAAAATATAAGCTTTTAATTAATTAGAAAAACTGCAATTAGTGGAACCTTTCATTTATATAATTAATGTAATTGATACCTAAATTAAAAATATGAAGAGAAAAAGTATATAAGTTATAATAATATATTACATTAATATATATGTATTAATATGTAAAATTAATCTTACTCATCAACAGCAACAACCTTTAATTATCAAAATGCAGTTTTGTGTGCTAATTTTCACCTGTCTTTCTCAAGTATTTATGTGCTGCTGGCCTGCTAATAATCTACTAGTTGCAGTATGTATATTTATATTTTACGAAATGCATATATACACAAGTAATTCTTAAATATAATTCTGATAATATGTATAATTTTAATATACGATACATTTACGCAATTCAAACAGATTATATTTCTTTTATAATCTATTAATCAGAAGCAGAAACTATCTAGATATATATCAGAGATAAAAATTATCTATTTTTAGTATATATTCTATTTGAATCTCTAATTTTCTAAGTAACTATTTTTTAAGAATTAAAAGTTTATAAAGTCTATAAATATTTTACAATATTATTATATTATTATATAAATAACAATTACACATATTAAAGGATTTTATTAAATATCTTTTTATAACAGAGTTCAAATATTGCTCTAGCAGCTTATGAATCGTTATGGTATTCTCGCAATGTATACATGCAAAAAAATTTGCTTCTCATTTTATTACGATGCCAGAAACCAGTTGCTGTAACCGTCACCTGCATTATACCAGTTTTATCCTTAAGATACTTTGGTTCGGTAAGATGGAACTTTTGAAAATTTAATATAAATACGTTTTAATATACATACATATACATGTATTTGTATATATTTATTATGTTTTAGTATATTTCAACGGCTTTTTCCTATTTCACGACTTTAAGAGTGATGTTTGAAGAAAATAAAGTTTGATTATAAAATAAAACAATATTACAAGTCTATCATCAGATTATAAAAATAATAATATTTCATATATTAAAAGTATTATATTTAACAATGTTTATTATATATGCGATAATATTTTTATGTTATATAACAATGTAGACAAAAAGTGATTTCATATAACAATTACTAAAAGTTGCAAATATTACATATTAAAAGTATTGTAAAAATTCGTGCACATTTATCATTTGTAAACTGCTAGATATATCGTGCATATACAACAATTAAAAAATATACATGTAAAATAATAAATAAACTAATATAATTTATATGTATTGGTTATAATAGTTTTCCAACATTGTATAAGCATATTATAAAGTCTGCAATGTACATTGTACATTTTATATAAAACCCCTCTCAATGCTGAAAGATAAGAGATAAATAAATCTATCTACTTATCTATAATAGTTTTCCTAAAATATACATACTTTGGATATCGTCAAGAAATTTTAATTAATTTATTATTTAAAATTTTCGTTTTTGTTTAAACTATAAATACTATAAAAACACTTTTACTTGTTAAATTTGAATACGCAACAAACATTATCTCTCATTGAATATTTCATAACGTCCGTGATGTATTACATGCTGCACGCGAAAGGAATTTGTCGAAAGATATTTATATTAACTTAGTCATTATTTTATATTTTCATTAGTTAGTCTTACACATAACTGCTCATGAAGAAGTGCTTTCTTTCCTAATAAAGTTTATAATATTTATGTAACATAATACGTAGCGAAGTAATTATGCGAGAAAAATTAATGCTTAAAAAGTAATCCTTATAATTTAGAAAATTGTGATTTAGAAAATATATACACAGAAAAATATTATTGTCTCATAGATGTCATTACTAAAAAATAAAGCATCTTTTATATGTATGTGCACATATATATAATATTACAATCATTATAGATTTTTGTTTCAAGTTGGTTTTATAATTTAAAATTTTCTATAATCTATTGAACTTACCTTTGGTTTTTTGTCTATCATTTTATTCATATATGATATAATTCCTCGCATAATTCATAAAAGTTATAAAATAATCAAAAAGAGGTATTAATCTTCTTTAGTTTTCAAAAAAAATAAGAATAAAAAATAATTAAAGACAACGCGCAATAGTGAAACTAATATTGAACGTAGTTATAGTATTATTGTAATAAAACTACATGTCTTGATTTTCAAAGCATTTTAAATAAAACTGAAGTTATAGTGGAAAACTTTATGCACGAGTAAGTATTGTTTAAACCTATTGTATAATATATTAGTAGTAACGATTCCTCAATTTATATACTCCAATTTACATAATTTGCATAATCCATAGCTTTTCAATAATTCTCCCTGTTTTATATTCATAATATTACACAGATAGCTGTAGGAAATAATATTTTGAAAGTTTTCGTTTTCAATAAAAATGCTACATTCTAAGAGAGAATTCTAACTATGTATTAAATTAATAATATCCTTACTATATGTCTTCACCCTTATCGTGTTTCTTTTGCAATCACTTTAGAATATTCCATAAATGCGAATTGAATTATAGATTTACTATCTATATTTACTTTTACTTCCTACTTTATATACGTACTATTGTACCGCTTATTTCATGAGAGATTTCTTATTACAAATGTATATTAGATGTGAAATCGAAGCGTACGTATATCATTTTTCGCGCTAAAGTTTTCTTTACATCCATTTATCACATCACTGCAACTTATGTAAGAAAACTTTTGATATATATATATATCGCAATAAATGCGTATGTGCATTTAATCATGTGGAAAAACGCAACGCTAAAAAATGTGATCGCCACCGTAAAATTAAGTTTGTTTATAACTTGCTGTTGGCCTCTTCCAGCAAATACAATTAAGTTTAAAGTCATCTGTGTAAAACTGTACCAATATTTGTGTATGATTTTAACTTTGGGCATAACTGTTGGATTATGTAATACAATTAGAAATCACCTTGATGATCCTCTTATTATGGCACAATCGATAATGATTATGTGTTCTACTATACACGTTATATTCAATATTGTGTCATGTAAAATTAATTCTTATCGTCTACAAGTAATTAAATAAATATATATAAAATAAATATATATTTAATAAAATAAAATATAAGATAAAATAATATTTATTATTATTAATTTTTTTTCTACAATACATGTAAAACAAAATTGATCAATTTCAGTTGGTTACATACGAAATGGAAAATTTCTGTGAATTAATTAAGTCTCATGAAGAAGCAATTATTCAACAATATATTGACAGATGCATTTATTTCTATGGTGGATCTATCGTCTGGGTCTACTTAACTACTATTGTGATCATTACTGGACCTGCTGCTCTCGATCAAACATTTCCGACAAATGCTGAATATCCGTTCGATATTTACCATCAACCGATAAAATTTATTATCTTCATATATCAGGCTTTTATATGCATGCAATGTGGTTCCCAAATATGTATGAATATTTTCATAGCCCTACTGCTTTGGTTTACATCAATGAGATTTAAATTATTAAGCGAAGAATTACGAGCAATTGTAGATATCCATGATTTAATACAATGTATTCAAAAACATCAGAAATTATTAAAGTGAGACTTAAAAAATATTAATTTTATTAGAAATCTTTTTTTTAATTACATAAAAATATTTTAATTAAAGTTAAAATATAATGCTATAGAAGAGTTTATTTAGGTTGGATCCAAGCTGAATTTCATTTATAAATCTATTTTCTAGTACACATAAGAATCTAACTTATTAAAATTTAAATCCTAATTTATTAAAATTTATTTTTTAAAAAGATTACGTAATATATTTATTTTAGATATGCAGAAGAAGTGGTTTCTGTAGTTCGCCCCTTTGCATTCTTAGCTATAAGCATTAGCACTTTTGCATTAATAATAATCGGAATAATCCTCATTACTGTAAGTGTAAAGTAGTATATTATTAACAATGATATTTTATGTGCTGTAAATATTCTCTAAATTAATTAATTTTTTCTATTTTCTTTAAGTGTATGTTTATTTTATTTTATTCTGTATATAAAAAATTCCTCATGATAATCAATATATATTTTAACAGCATATTCTTATTCTAATAATATAATTTAATTAAAATTAAAGATTCTAATACAAAAATATTAAGATCACAATAACTCTTAAAAAATTATTGTAAAAAGATTTGTTTAATATCAAAATCAGCATCAAAAATTACATATAAAGCATTATTTGAATTATCTTACTTATAAAAAAATTATAATATAAAAAACTGCATTAATTAAGAATAAAAAATTTATTTGTACATATTTATAGAATATTTTTATTTTACATGTAGCAAGGGCAACCATTATCCATGAAAATTCAATGCGTCGGTTTAATTTTTGGTGGATTAGCAGAAGTATTTATGTATACATGGCCAGCTGAGCATTTGATTCACATAGTAAGTTAATTATCATTAAAATTTTGCTTTACTTCAATTTGTATCATAATTGTCCAATATCTTTGCAAGAGTAATGAAGTTGGACAGACAGCATTTAATACGCAGTGGTATAAATTATCAATTACTCTACAAAAAAATCTACAAATAATGATACAGAAGTCTCAAAAACCAATAATTGTCGCAATACCATGCGTTATGCCTACATTATCTTTAAATTACTACGCATCGGTAAGGAAAAATTTGAAATATTATTACTTAATATATTAATCATTATACATATCATCTGAATGGCTTACTGTTCATATATTATTATATTTTTGTAATAATTACTTCTAGTCTCATTATATTGTAATAATTACTTCTAGTCTCATTATTACACAATATTAAAATAGTATGGCAAATATCATTTTTACAATCTTTAATTTTTTATTAATAAGAAAACATATTTCTACAAAATATTAAAAATATATTTAATATCAGAAGAAATAAAATTTTTATCATTGTTTTTTGTATATTTATAAATTATATACTTATAAATTATAATACTTTATTGTTTAAATACAATAGAATTTATTATTATTTTGAAATGAATATTCGTTATTGGAATATCTCTGTATGTGTATGTGTGTGCTTATGTACATAAAGTATAATGTTTATTTATTACTAGTGTATCTCGATTGTTAATATAAATAATTTTACAATTATTATTTTTATTGTAAAAATGTTCTCATATATATATAGTATTATGATGATATGTCTATAGAAAAAAATGTAATACGATGTATGTATATATTATTATACAGAGATTTAAGTAATATTTTAATAATAAAGGAAGAGTTTATATTTTTAAATATACAATTTTGTCGAAACAAATTTAATTAAATATCACATACGATAAATGACAAATGCATAGAATATAAATAATAAAAACTAAGAATAAATTATCACATATAACGACATATCTTTTTATAAGACGAAAATCAAAAGTATAGTATTTAAATATTATTAATGTTGCAGTATTTGTCAACTATATTTTCATTTTTTACAACGTTACGAATGGTTATACAAAATACCCAAGATGGAGGATAACTAAGGATGTCAATATTTTTGAAACTTTGAAAAATCTAGATATATTATATTTTAAAGAGCCAGTAGCCACAAAATAATTGTATATTATATATCGTGGCGATAGTTGAAACGTAATATTCTTTCTAATTGTGTAGATAAACTGCTTTGTCACACAAATATTATAAAGAAAAATGTATTGTAACAAATAATATAATAATATTGGAAGATATATTAAAAATATTTCAAGAAAATATTTTTTCGAACAATTTTTATTTTACTCAGAATTTATGAATTTAATTTAATTATTATTGTATGCCATCCTATATTAGGTAAGAAACAAATTTTTAGTCACATTATTTTTCAGTAGTATTTAATATAATAATAAATGATAATATACATAAATACGAATATATAGTTATGCGTGTAAGTATATATACTTTTGTGTATGTGTGTGTGTATGTATACTTATATATGTATATTTATTTATTTATATTTATATATTTATGTTCTTTTAATCATGTTTCTTAGCTATCAATTGCTGATTTTCCTATTTTTTCCTATTTTCTTATTTTCTTATGCTATTTTATAAATGCAATTGCAAAGTAAAACGTATTTATAAAATTTTAAATATATATATATATATAAACATTTAATTAATTAATCGAACGATTACATTCGGCTTGCCATTTTACTCGCTGCGTTACAGTGAATATCGCGCGAGAAAGACAGACAACATGCGCGGCGTCGTGCACGATTTCGACCGTCCGCGCGCAGACGAAAAACGGCCAATTAATATCTCGACTTCCGGACGCGATAGCGATTTCGTTCTTTTTGCATAAAATTCTACACCATTTCGCGGCACTACCGTTTAAATCTCGTCCCGATCGCCCGAGGAGCGGCTGACTTATAGTGAATATTTGAAATCTGCTTCTTGGACTCACACTTAAGTGTAATATTTATATATATCGAATAAAAAAGCGAGTCGGAACGCAATCAGTCGAATAGTGAATTAAATATTTATATATACCAAACGAAAAGATGAATCGGAATGCATTCGTTCGATTAACTCGTTAAATATTTATATATATAAATATTTAATTCACTATTCGACTGATTGCATTCCGACTCGCTTTTTTATTCGATATACATATACAATTGATATTATGAATGGAATATATTTATTCTCTCTTACATATATATAAATTTATCAGCTTATCATAAATTATTTATTGATTAGTTATTTCATGATCAATCCGTCAATCAAGCTCCATTTTTAATCAAGGCACTTAAATAAAATATAATTTTGGTAAACGCATAAATAATGAGAAAGTAAAGTAAATAAATAAAATAAATAAAGTAAATCGATCAAATTAAATTATATATGATACAAGAGAGATGTTTACAAATCCTTCATGAAAAGAATAAATTAAATAAAAATCTGAAAAAATAGGATAAAGCTCAGAATTTAAACTAATCGTTTCTCAGGAAGGTAATAAAATAATGTGTAATTTCATGTATATCAAGTATAAAAAAATTCAAAATACCCAAAATTACAACATAATATACAAAAAAATAAAATTTATTGAACATTAATTAATTATAAACTCAAATCATAAGAAATCAATTTATAAAACTAAAATAAAATTTTTTTCTAGGATTACTGTTTCTGTTGATAATATTTATATGTATCACAACAATATAATTAATATAATGCTAAAAATAACATTTATCTATAAGATTATTATTATCTATAAAGTAAAATTATTATTAATTGTAAGTTAAATATGAATTTTAATAAACATTAACACACACTATATTAATATAAAATGTTATTATAAAATATTAATATATTTTTAATAACTTATATACATATATATTTATTATACACACACACACACACACACACACACATATATATATATATATATATATATATATATATATATATGTGTGTGTGTGTGTAATATATAGTATATATAATGTATAAAATATATATGTATATGTATATGTATATATATATATATATATGTATATATATGTATATATATATATATAATGAAATTATAAAAAATTTATTATATTAATTTAATTATTTTAATTAATTTATATTAATTTAGTAAATCACTTGTCACAAATTTCCATAATGACAAGCTTCTACATGCTTTTACTTCTTTGAACATGACTACAAGAGAGTCCATAATTTCCTCTCCAGTCGGAATAATCAGGTCAGGGGGCAGCAAAAACCCATAATTATCGCGATCACGTAACTCATAGGTATAAGTGATTTGCTTACCATAAGTAGCCTTAATATAATCTACACTACTTCCTGTGGCCCTATCTAAAAAAAATTTATAGCGTTTAAAAAGCAATATTTCATGTCCTAATTAATAAGAAATTACAGATTCAAAACAATGCAACAATGCAAATTAGTGTCATAGTTACACTGCAATATGCAATTATTTCAAAGAAAAAAACTTTAATTATAATAGATTATATAAGATAATTAAAAACTGTTTTAAAACGCATGATAATAGAACGAGAGTTAAAAATTCTTCTCTTACACATTTTTTCTGCAATATTTCCGGTCTGATATTCAGTTCCATATTTTTTCTTGAGAGCTGCAATGGCTTTCAAACCGATATCATGCTGAAATTATGAAACTTAAATTAATAGAAATGTTATTCTCATAACACATATATATAATTATCAATATCAACAATGATACAATTAAATGATTAATTTAAAGTACTTAATCCAATAATAGATATAATATTATTGAGACAATAATAATTAAATTGGTATACTTAATGAGCCTTTAAAAAGAATGAATATTGTTTTTAATAGAAATTAATGAATTTAGTATTTGATTTATTAAAGAATAACTTATATTAATTTGTAATAATAAAGATAATGACGATAATGACAATAATGCATATATATATTGATTTACTTTACGTTTTGAAAAATCTTTATTGTTGCAATAACAAAATTTCTTACTAATTCATCATAATTATCAAGATGATTTTTTGTGTGCCCATAAGGAAATAATAACAACTGCGCATGACTGTGAAATGCAATATACGCATAAAACTTGTCGGAAATGGTCTTTATATATTTAGACATACTTTTCGTTTCTATTTCAGACAATGGCCCACTTCCTGCATAGTTATTAGAACATGGATCATTTTTCAATGTGTGAGCTAAGAAATAATATCAAATTAAAATTAATGTTAATGTTAATATAATAAGACTAACATTTAATTTTCAAAAAGTTCTTAAAGTCTCAAATTTCTAAAATTGTTTAAAGTTCATGTATAATCTATACTGTTGATGTTTTATTTTTTTATTATAATCTTATGTTCACAGGGGATACTCACTATTCCATTTATAGTTCCAATTTCTGTTAAGATCTACACCAACACAGAAAGAATTTGATAGTTTACGATTCTTTCTCCACATTCGATTCTATGTAAATAAATAAAAAATCTTTACTCGTATGATTTCAATTTAAAAAATTAATAGAATTAAAAAATATAAAAAAATAAAATAAAAAATATAAAAAAATATCATAATATTATGAAATATTATTATGTAAACTTATTTACCGTAGTATGTGTATATACATATCCATCAGGATTAAATACAGGAAAAATGTACCAATCATGACTTTCTGCCAAAGCTCTAATATCCACCTCATTGCTGGTCAGCACTTGATGTAAGATATACATGGCAGTTGCCGGCGAGATCCACTCCTTGGCGTGAATTCCTCCTTCTATGAAGATTCCAGGATTATTCGCCCTGAAAGATACTTTGACACCTTTGATCTCGCGTCCTTCATACGTTGTGCCACCTATAATGATCTGTACATTATCCGGATAATTCTTAGCCAAATTATTCAAATTCATATAGATTCTTTCGAGAGTGTGATAATTGTTAAAATCGAAAGACGTTAATCGATTCGAAGGCATCGTCTGATCGACAAGTTTTTGAACGTTTTCGATGTTAATCTGATAAGATATATTAATTCGGGCCATTATTTCGTAGAACAGCGGCAATATGTCCGGGGCAACCATAAGATTTACTATTCTATTTGTGAGGGCTGGCGTATTCCAAAAGGTGAACTATAAATAATAATATTACAATTAACTATAAATAATAATATTTAATTTCTCAATTTTGCTTAATTAAATTTTAATCTAAATTATAAACTAAAAAAATATAAAACTAAATTTTAATCTATCTAAATTTTAATCTATCGAAGAATTTTTAAACCGCTTATTCTTTAATTTTATTCTTATTTTTATGAATCATTAATAAAAATCTTGTATAATTATAAAATTTTCATATTAAATAAATTTCAATTTACGAAATAAATTTATATAATCTAAGTTCCTGTAAAGAAGAAAAGAAATCTGTGCGGACTGTATGTACATGAAAGATCTACTTACTCCATTATGAATGTTATCCATTTGGAAAAGTTGTTTGATTTGTATCTCTGTAGTCGGCATAATACTGAAAACTTTATAATTCTCGAAAGTAGCTTTCTGAGCGATAGTCAAGCACATGATCATATTTAATAAACTCACGCTCCAAAACATGACTCTATAACATTTTTCCATAATTTAATATATAAAATTAATTTTTATTAATTATTAAATTACACTTATCAAGACATAATTTTTTTAATTTTATGCTATGTATTTTAATATACAATTTAATCATGGATAATATTGTTATCTTAAAAATTTAATTTTTAAAATTTGATCCAAAAATCAAATACCTCTTTCGAGGCAAAATTACATTTATTGAATTTAAATATTAAATACAAATGATGCATAATCTAATAGCAATAAGTGCCAATAACCGATAGATCCAAATTAATAGAGAAGAAATGCTATTTAAATAAATGAAAAATAATCACATTGAAGCCTATTTGTCTATCAGATTAATTTTATAAATAATATATATATTCTTGTAATACTTATAATTATATATAAATAATATATACAAGTATATACTTATAATTGTATATGATTAATATACATAAAAGCGATCAAAGATGCAAAACAATAAATAACGATTTAATATATGTTAAAATCATTTAAAAATAATAAATTAAATAATTCACTCTTACGATATCAAAATAAAACTAATTAAAATTAATTAAAATTAATTAAAATAAAAAATAGAATACTCTATAGAAATTAAAATTCTTTATTAAATACGAATAATCATAATTATACCTTTTTATTCCAAATCTAGACATTTTATTAGACCAAAAATAGTTGATATCAAAATTAACTCACGAAATGTTAAATAAAAATAACGATTATTTTTAAATTATACATTTTCAATAAATTTTTCTTGAAAATTGACGTTACAAATCAAATTCAAATATATAAATAGAGCAACTAAGAAACACATCTGACACTGGTGAAATATGAACAATGTTTATATGATTAAGCTTATATTTGCTTGTGTTCAAAATCTAATGTTTATATATATGTATGTGTGTGTGTATGTGTGTGTGTGTGTGTGTGTGTGTGTGTGTGTGTGTGTGTAAGTATGTGTGTGTCTATATATATGCGAGATTAACTTGTTTTAAAATATTCTTAAAGTCAGAAAATAATTATTTCCAATATATATTCCTCCTTATTCAATTTATTCTTCTTATTGTATGTATAAAAGGCAATTATTACAATCAAAATACGACAATTAAATAAATAAGAAGGATGTATACGTGCTACATTTGTAAATGTATTTAAAAAATTGAATAACTTCCGTAAGATAAGCATTTAAGTATTTTTCCAGATGAATCTCATATTTATTTTTAAAAAATATTATAAGAAAAAGCTCACAATGTATTTTGCCATTTTTAATTTAAATTATATTTTCATGAGAATTTTGATATAAAGTTAAGTAAATTATTTTCGCGTATAAATAAATTATTATCTTCGTCTATCTATCCATTTTTATTGTATACATGATTTGTAATCAAGGAAACTGATTTGAACAAACAAATAACTGATATAAATGTGATAAATAAATTATATTAAATTTTTTAACCGTGCAAAATACATATCTATAAGCACAATATTATAAAAAAAGTTTATTTTCTTCCAAAAATAACTAATCAAATCAAATTCAAATCTTGATAATTTCATTATTTGTGATAATAAAGCCGTAAAAAAATGAAATTTAAAACATCATACATAATTAAAAATCGAAATACCAAAATTTATTATCATCAATTTTATAAAATAATATTATAAAAATCAGCAATTTATACAATAAGTTTTTAGAATATGTTATCGATGAAGGATATTATATTTACAATCAATTAAGCTAATTTTAAGTCTCTTTAGGAAATCCATGTTTTTCGGCTTCATTAAACAGGGCTACAAGAGAATCCAAAGTCTCTTCTCCAGTTGGAATAATTTGTTCTGGAGGTAATAAGAAACCATAACGACCTTGATCACGCAATTCATAAGTGAAGGAGAGTTGTTTTTTATAAACGCCTTTTATGTAATCACAAGTACTTCCAGTGGCTACATCTAGAAATAGTTTTATATATTTATTTTAGCATCTAGAACTTGTATATTTACATTTAAATTAATATAATATATTTGAAAACTGACAATCGCTTCATATAATTAAATAATGTTTAAATATTGATAAACATAATTGATATGGACTAAAGAAATTAAGATAATTTAATATCATTTTACTTACAGATCGTTTCGGCAATATTTCCGTTTTGATACTTAGTTCCATATCTCTTTGCGAGAGCTGCAACGGCCTTAGAACTGATAGCATACTGAAATTGCAAAATCACATAAATTTCTATTATTAAATCTGAAATTATCAGGGATAAGATAAAATTACACTTGACAGTACATTTTTGAGACTTACTTTGACTGATATATAAAATTATAAAAAAATATGACATAAATTGTATATTGAATTGAATCATTCTACTCTTAATATCACTTATCTTGATCAATTCATAAAAAGAATAAATACTTTGTTATAAAATCGATTCTTTTCGCATTGATTCATAATTTAGATAGTTTACGCGAAATTTATATTATCTTATTAATATACATATAATAATAATAATGATGTGATACAACAAGAAAATAATAATTATTTTATTAATTTATAAAAAATATTATTTTTATATTCTATTCAAGATTTTGAAAAAATCTTGAATAATATTGTACAATTAAAGATCCCTTACTTCTTCGTCGTAATTCTCTAAATGATTTGTTGTATGGCCGTAAGGAAACATTAGTAGCTGCGAGTAACTATGGAAAGAGATATATGCGTAAAATTTGTCTTTTATGGACTCGATGAATTCAGACAGGCTCTTCGTCTCTATTTCAGAAAACGGTTCACTTCCAGCATAAGTTTCGGCGCACGGACTGCTGCTGGCACCTCCAGCTATCAAAATTACAATATCAATATCTAATTAATAAATACAGGACTAATCTTAATTTCAAGAGTTTTTCAAGGATTTTTAAAAATCTCTTCAGCGTTATTATATTTATTATATTTAACAATCTTTAAACTCTTAAGAGAGATAACATTTTATTCATTTTATAATTTTCTGTTATAATAAAAGAATACTAGTACTTACTGTTCCATCTGTAATTCCAATTTCTATTAGGATCACTGCCAAAACATAAAGAACTATACGGCTTACGCGTCTTCCTCCACATTCGGTTCTGTAAACGATTGATAGAATATAAATGATTTCAATTAAAAAAAAAAACAATCTTATATAATATCATGAAAAACATAATTTACCGTGGTATGTGTGTATACATATCCGTCGGGATTAAACGAGGGGAAGATGTACCAATCATATCTCTCAGCCAGATTTCTGACGTCCGTATTATTACTGGTCAAGAATTGATGCAGAATAAACATGACAGTTGCCGGAGAGATCCATTCTCTGGCATGAATGCCACCCTCGATGAAGATTCCAGGATTATTTGCCTTAAAGGAAAGCTTGACGCCCTTGATTTGACGTCCTTCATATGTCTTGCCGCCTATGAGAACTTGCACGTTGTTTGAATACTGCTTTGCCAGATCATCTAGGTCCTTGTAAATTTCGTCAAGAGTATGATAGTTAGTGAAATCGAACGATGTCGACCGACTTAAAGGAGTCGTTTCATCTATGAGCGCCTGAACATCCTGGATATGAAGGCGATAGGGTACTCCGTTCTGAATCATTATTGTGTAAAAATCGGGCAATAGGTGTGGTGCTACCATGAGATCCACATTTCTGCCTACAAAGCTCGGTGCCTCCCAAAAAGAGAACTGTAAATAATATTCAATTTTACATGTTAAAATTTAATATTATCAAACATTATTTATTAATTATTAGTCTTATTCTTGATTTTGTAAATTTTGTGAATTTCGATTAAATTGCATAAATTTCATGAAACTAATTAATTTTAAATTAATATTAATTGCTAAATAAAATCTAATCTAGTCTAAGTTAATATTAAATCTAATTAAGTCTAAGTAATATTAAATTAATAATTATTGCTTCCAACTTCTTCAAAAAAATATAATTCTGTACGCATATATTACTTAATCTATACACACATCTGTAATTTAGATATTTGCGAAAAAAAATTTACTCACTCCAATTTCTTCTAATCCGCGAAGAATTTCAAGCTGCGCCTCTGTAGTTGGAATAATACTGAAGACTTTGTAATTATCGAATCTAGCTTTCTGGGCGATTGCCAGACTCAGGATCGTGCACAACACTATTGCCTTCCACATAATGATTCTGAAGAACACACTCTCTAAAAGTGAGTCAGTGTATTATCACTGTAATTAGTGCTGTACTTATAACTGTTTGTAATTAGTATTTACTAATGAGTAATGAGTATTTACTGTTTTTCAGTGATACAATGATTCACTCTAGTGAAAGTAGTATATATACTACTTTCACTAGACTAAATCAATGTATTACACTGATTCACTTTTAGAGAGCAGATTTTTTTTATTTTTTAATGAGCAAAATAAAGTTATATCGTGATTATCAATCCATAATAATCACAATTATCGCGAACATTTTTTCAATTATAATACAATACGCAGTTTTTGCAAGAATATTTGCAATCGTTGACAATTATTGTCGTTAGTCAGTTATTTAATTTAATTCAGGATATTTTCTTCCAGAAAATCGGCTTACTCTTTGTAAGAAATATTTGTGATCGTCGCTCTGTTTCAGTCAGTTGTATTTAAACACTAAATGCACACGGCACCAAACAACCGAGACATCAGAACATGATTTCGAAAAAAAATCACAACAATCAATCAAATACAAGATTACGTTTACTTTATGTGGGTTTTACCACTGATCATCGGATTAACTTCAAGAACAGCGCGATATCAACTGATTCTACGTGGCACACTTGACCAGAAATCGAGATTTCACAATTAGTCGTCTAGCTTTATTAGATATTTAAACAATGGATATATACTCTTTTATAATTTAAATCTAGATGTTATTATACATTGCGTATTTTACAAACTATTTTTAAAATATAAATTTGTTTTGTTTGATTCAAAATATAAATACCTTTAGCATCGCAAAAAAAAGAATTTAAGAAGAAGAATTGATCTAAAATATCGATAATCCAAATTTCTGCTCTTCAATAAGTATAAAAATAATATATAAATTTATAAAAACTATACGTTCTCAACGTAGATTTAATCATAGTTAGCATAAAATAGATGCTTGCAAAATATGTAGATAAAATAATAATGTCATAAAATCGATTATTATCAAATAATTGAATCCTTGTTTATACGCATTATCCCATATATAAACTATTTTATAAAATAATTTTAATAAATAATTATTCTATATTTTTTATAAGTAATGTACTTCTTTTTGTACTTATTAAATAAATCTAAATCTAAATGGCTATTAAGTCATATTTCTGATTTTTTTTAATATAAAGCAATTTAATTTAATCGTTTTGTTACTGAGAAAAATATCCGGTGAAAAGGTACGAACGGATATTATACCGATCACTTTAATCGGAAAAAAAAGAAATCGGTCAAATATCCAATCAGAAAATATCGATCGATCGGATATTTAATCAGAAAGTTCAAAATTCGGAACATTCCAATCAGATATTCGATTAAAATCGGTATAATATCCATTCGTTACCTTTTCATCGGACATTTTTCTCAGTGTAGGAATATAAAAATTGCACTTTAGAATTTTACGCATAATTATCATATGAATTTATATATTTTTATTAAATACACTATCAATTTTATCATCTTATCAGAAATGTTCCATTGATTAACTATAACATGATTGCGATAGCGTCGTTTTTAATCGCGTCGCGCATTCGGTGATAGCTAATTTGTGCAAATAATTAAAAATATAAAATTGTCTTGTCATCTAATTATAGATTAAAATCAAAACAGAATTTCTCATATCCAAATATATTGCAGAAAGAATTTCATATACCTTGACCGATACAAGCATCGCATCGATTACAAAATCATGATCAGTGTTTTATCTTTATTCGCATGATTTGCATTCCTAAATTTTTCCATATAAATAAATATTTATATAATCATTATATTAATAAATAACTCGCATGTTTCGATGTTATAATGAATTTAATCAGTAATCAATTTTATGTAATCATTTATAGGGAAAATAAATAAATAAAAATAAAACACAATATACTATGTTTTATTTCGATAATTTAGAATTTAGATGCTAGAAATTTTTATTAATTAATTAAATTTATATATAACAAAAACTTAAAATTTGTACTTATACTTGCTTAAATGACAATAGTTTGCTGGATGCGACCTGTGTAGGCTTCATGAAACACGTTAAATGTCTCTGATTATCCACCTTTCGACTTTTATATGCGCGATTATCTAGAATTATAATATACGTGAGATACATGCGAAGTAACAGAATATATGTGTTAATTTGCATATGCAAAATAAATTTTTTTTTCTCTAAAAAGATAATGAACAGTTGACTGAGTGAACAGTCCGCATGCTACAGAATGTTCTACATTCATTGTTTACCTTGATAACATGCGGGTCCTTATCAGACGCGTACTGAAGATACTGTACTACTGCTAAGAATTAGTAAAAACTTGCAATTAAACTTGCGCTCGAATTAGATTAGGTTGACCTCTATTTCACAATTTAAAATAACCTGTACGCATTTTACATTTGTTGCGACGTATTTATTAACAATGCTTTACAAGATCTTCATGTCGCGCGTATGAATATAAGTCTATATATAAGTAACAACAAAAAATTTACATATTTAATTATTTGTGTAACATAACATTCATAATGTCGATAATTTGTATAGAAGCCGTTTTTTTTTTTTAATAAATATAAAGAAATGTGTGTATATAGTATATACATTTTCTCTTTATAATTAATCAGAAAAAACAGCTTATATATATATATATATATATATATATATATATATATATATATTTCTTAATAATTATTCAGAAGAAATGGTTTCTATATAAATTACCGATATTATGATCTCTTGAAATATATGCATTATGCACGCGATACGCCTTACTTGACACACTAGTTTAATTAGGAACGTTTTGATCTACATCTTCAAAATTACGTCTGAAAAGTTGCAGCATCGTAGAAAACGTACGTAGCATTCATAATTCTGATTCATTTATCAACATTACAACATTCTTCTTCCAGCATAACATTATAAACTTACAAATTAATTGTCTTCTGTGTAATAAAGTGAAAAACTTTTATAATGAAACAAGAATTAATTTAAAAAATCATGATTTTAGAAGAAAAACATATATACGTATAAATATATTGGTATATCATATTTTTCTAAAATATATACATAATATATAAAGAATTGATATTTTTAAGACAATATAAAGAATATATAAAGAATTGATATTTTTAAGAAATTATTATTTTTTCAAGAGAATTCAAAGAAAATAAATTCAATAAAAATGAATAGATTACAAGTTTTCTTATATCATGTTAAAGTATGCTATTGTAAAAAAACGTGATATTATTAAAATAATTAAAATAAATAAATATAATGAGATACATAGATATACATAGATTTTGGAACGTTAAATCTATGCCAAAAGATTTTTTTGTGAAGAAACAACTCTAATTCGTTTAAAAATAATCTGTTCATATAAATTGTAATTAAAAAAATATATATTGTATACAGCTAGTTTGCCAGCTGTAAATTTTTTTATATAGCATCAAATACTTTCTGAGAAATAGAGAGTAATTTTTCTTCAGTCCCTATTATAATCATTCGAAACAACCGTATAGTAGCAACAGTAAAATTATAATTTACTACATACACGATACACACCTTGTGCACACTAATATAATATAATTGTTTACTAGCTAAATCAAAATTTCAGGCTACATCACAGTCTGCAGTTTGTTACACATCAATCTCAAACTCGGAAATAAATCCTATTTTTTCCTAGATCACATTCTAAATATATTCAATATATAAAGAATCTTTCTTATTGATAGAACATAATTTGATAACAAGAAAGAAACAAAATAGAGAAGAAAGAAAAATAAAAGAATATTAATTTTTTTTTGTACTTTCCCTATATATTATACAACATTGTATATATTTTACGTTTCTTTTCAAAAAGAAATCATAATTTTTTACATTTATTTATATTATTAATCAGATCATTATTTGTATCAACATTATCCTTCCTTAATATGTCAAATAATTGTTAAATTATAATAATAATAAGTTTGTCAAATAATTTTTATGAATTCAAAATATATGATCTAGGATGTATTATTGGAGATTACAAATTATAGTCTGCTTATTATTGTAACAAAAATGCTTCCTTACAAATTGAAATGCTCTTTGATTTTTGCAATATAATTAATAAGAATTTCAAATACACTTCATTTACAAAATCTAATATTACAATCACAATCCAATCATTTAGACGCAATGCTTCATTTAAAATCATTCATTCCTTTGAAATTTCAAGATATTTTTTATTCTTATTCAGCTCGAATAAACCCTGTGAAAATGTTTCCCCTAAAAACATGTAGTGAATAATTCTATGCTTGTGTCAGAAAAGGTGTTGAAAAAAAATCTCAATTATCTGTACAATTAATTTGATATGTAATGCAATTGCGGCACAAGGAAGATTATCAATGTTATTTCTGGCCAATATAATATTTTATACATCTAATAACTAATTGTTTCTTATATTTATAAAGAATATTTCTTCAACATTTGAATTCTAATTTCAAATGCAGATCTAGCTTTCCTGTAAAGCATACTTTTCAACTTGCAGTCAAAAAATTTTTCCGAGTTCCCTAGAAAAAAATAATTTAATTTAGTCTATTAAAAATAAGCAGAAAAATTATGAGAATATATGTCACTGTATTACAAATTATTACCAAATCGTTTCCTGATCCGCATCGATCGCGTTTTGCTATAAATGAGTGATTTCCAATCCATGGGGAAGCCTGTGACCCTGAGCGTGACTCATACTAAGTTGTCTTGTCGCCATTCCACCACCACATTGACTGCTCCAATCCGCAATGGGTATCGGCATGCGGTAAAACCTTGATGAAGTCTTGTTAAATATTGGCAATAGCTCGTTCGCCTCGGTAGATAATGCCTGAAGATAAAAACTTTCGTATTTCATACATCGCTTATAAATAAAATATAAAGCTATAACAACTATCATTAAATGTATTTTTATAAATTTTTGCGAGGATTTTCGAGTATTACCTTCAGATAGATGATAGCGTCTGTTCCATAACCTTCACAACTAAGTAGCACGATGTCACCGTGTAAATACCTGGCATAGAGCCGAGACAATGGCAAACCGTAACCGTATCCTGCTAGCGGTACTGTGTGAGCATCCGATTTACTCGGCTGTGGGGCGGTGCTATACATATATTTAAATAAATGGTCCATTTGTGAACGAGGAATGCCACCACCTCTATCGGATATCTAAAGGAAGCAGATAAAATATAAATTAATAATCATAAAATATAAATTATTAATCATTGCAGTCTAATCATTTATTATATCTACCATATTATATTTTAAAAATTGAAATTGTAAAAATTGAAACTCTCTCTGTCTTTCTTTCTCTTTTTCTCCATCGTACCTTGACACAAATATCCTCTTTACCACGCACCAACAAAACCTCGAGTGGCGGATAATTGTCCGAATCCGATCCATGATACTCCATCACGGCTCGCATGCTGTTCTTGAAGAGCTCGAATAACATATGATACAAATGACTCGGCACGTAAATGATTCTAATTTCACTACTACGGTCAAGCTCTGGAAAAACGAAATGTACGGCAATTATATTATACAATATACAACCAGAATTCGATCTATTATTCAGCTTTAATCAACTTTTAATCATGTAATAAAAATATAACAAGTCGAACGTACAGATATAATTCTCTCTTTTTGTTATTACAAACAATTAATATATGTATAAAAATAATAAAGATAATAATGAATGAATATAACACAATTTATACTATATATTTTATAAAAAAATTATTCATATATCCTATATCATATATCATATAAAATTATTTACTTATGCTAATCAACAATGTTTAAACTTGCCATTATGCTGTTTGACTATTAATTCTGGACTAGCCAGATAATATTGATCACATAAAAATCGTGCATTCTCATAAGCATCCTTAATAACGCCGATCACGTCACAAGATGGATCTATACATCCTACATGTCTACTGTGCCCATTCAATTGTCCACCAAAAAGGAGTGCTAAAAACACAGAACGCAAACAAAATTAAACATTAATAAAATACTGATACTTGATTTATACTTAAATTCCATTAAATATTTAATTGTATATTGAAATATTTGATACATACTGTGCTGATTGATTAACATACGAATGGAAATGCGGGACATTAAAAATCTGTCCAGAAAATACTGTATGCTGTTTTCAGTCTGAATATCTACGTCGTGAGACTCCTTCAGCTCCAGAACGCCTTGCGCCATAGTTTGAACGACATCAGTGTGTCTATTCCGGATTTTTATCAAAGCTTGGCAGAATCTATAAAAAGATTCATATCAAAGAATTCGTAAAATCGATCTTTTCTCAACAAACATCGCCCAAGTGCTTAATTGGCACACTCACTTGTCTAAAGTAGTATCGTTGACTTCAACTTTCTCGAAGTGTATTATTTCCTCGAAGGAAGTGGCATATAAGTTATTAACAATACCCACACTAGGCATCTTCAGCAGATTATCCGGCAGCAAATGAATCTCTTTCATAATATTAGCGAGCCGAACTGGCAATTCTTTCCTCAGGAATATGAAAGATTTCCTTTCGCAGGCACTTAGACCTGAAAAATATATACGATATAATTATAATTATATACTCGTAAGCTTAATTATTAATATGACAAAATAGGGTTTTAATCAAGTCAATTTTATTGATCCAGGTATCGAAAAACTTTAACAGATAATTTTATTTCTAACAAATATAAAAATAAATTCTAGACATTTTAATTCACGCAAACGTATACGAGAAATAAACTTTAGCAATCATATATTTCATTTTTTTAGAAATCTTTTATCTTCTTTTCTACTGTTTAATCTTTCTCTGTTGCTTGATAGATTTGCCCGTAATGTGCTGACGTTAAACAGCCATTAAAATGATGACAGTTATATACAATTGCAGTATTCATGAAGATAGATTTTATTCTGTCATTATCTTTTTCGTCTGCCAGACACAAAATACATATTTATTGCAAGGATTAAGAAGCGTCTTCCAGAAGAGAAAAAATGATAACTCATTATCACGTTATCGCTACAGTATAAGATCAACAAAAAATTGATCTGTTTTAGTGAAACTTTTACAGTTGTCATCAACCGTATAAATAGTTAAATGTCTTTCGAAAAAGTATATATTATATTTAAATAATCTATTTCGCAGGAAAACAAAAAGTCTAAATAATACACAATTTAATATGTATTTAAAATTTTCAACAAGAATATTATAATGTAAACTTTTATATACAGCAAGCAATAATATCAGAGACACAATTCTAAATTGATAAATCTTTATCTCAAATATAAATATTTGTACGTTGAGTTTTCACTTTATAGTTTAATATAATCGAGAAAGAAAAACCGAGAGATAAAATTTGCATGTCATGATTGTAACAGAGCATTCGCGGAAGCGTTCGTCTATTTACCAATTAATTGATAAAAAACTGTTATCATGAGATAAGGAATTAACAATGTATACCGTTTTCATCACTAAATTATGGCAGTTTTTAACCAATTATTAATTGTTACTAAAAAGTAATTTACGAAAAATTAATATAGCTTTTTATAATCATGTAAATATACATATAAAAATATTCCGATGCAAAGAAACTCGAAAATTCAACAGTTTATATCGATTTTTAATAAATTAAGATTATGTTAAAATATATCTAATTTATTTATTTTTATATTTTGTAAAAAATTGCAAAATATATTACCAAAAATTCTGTACAAAACAAATTCATTTAAAAGTTATCACATTATTATCTTATCATCTATGTAATGCCAAAAAATTGATACAAATTTTCTTTTAACAAAAAATCTTCTAACAATCATATTGACCTATTTGATATACGATCACTATGCTAGATAAATATGAATTGCACTCGCATATAAGATACTCGTACTCTACGCGCATTCGCTAAAAATATTCTACCACTCAATTACAAATTGTTAGAATAAGTAGAGTATAAACTCTTCATTTAAAAAAATAAGCTTTTTTATTTTAAAGGTTTTTCTTGACTTAATTTTTTTTATTAAAAAAATTGTATGCAGTCTTAGATATCGTCAAACATTATTTTCTTAACAAATATTTATATTTTGAAAAACGTGAAAGATAGAAAATTGTTTGATAGAAAATTATTGTAATAGGAATGTTTATCGATCATTTATAAAATATTTGATATCTGCACGCTCGAGTAGACGTCGTCGATAAATCGATCGTAACATCCCTTATCTTCTCGTCAGAGTGAAAATTCAATTATTTACATAGATATGCGCCTCTCTCTGAGACATGTTCCCGGGTGTCTACAGCAGTATACTCTGAAAATAAACCTCGACCTCGTGAGCATGCAACGCGAGACATTGTTACTTGGGATAGCAAATCTGAAAAATTATTATTTGGCATCTTAGTGCGCAAAATGTTTGAATGTTACATAGTACATAATAAGTATCAGAAAGACGTGTAAAATGAAAACAAAAGTGTACTTTATACTCATTAATAAAACATTTGTTGATCAGTCATCAGATAGAATTTTAAATCATACTTTAGACCTTTAGACCTTTTATTAACGCGATAATTTTGCAACTAGTAATTATCCTAAAAAAGCAAACTAATATAGAAAAAAATTGTACATGTAAAGGATATAATTTATATTTATTTTCTGCAAATAAATAAAATTTACCATAACTTTCAATAATTTTTAACAATTTGTTTATTAAATTTATTATTTGTCAATACTGAAAAATATAGGAAGTCAATATTTATTTTTGTAAATAAGAGAAGTCTTTCGTATTTTCCCATAAACTTTTGTTTAAGAATATTACCAAAAAATATTAGATAATAGTTCATCGATTCTCTGTTTGAGAAATGACTATTTATCACGCGGCATGTAATCAATGTAAAAGTTGAGAACATCAAAAAGTCAATGACGATAACTGTGTGTTTCTGCGCAATTTTAATCAGCCTTAATAAGACGGAACATTGCGTCATTCTCTCAATAGCGAGGATTCGCTTGTCGGCAAGGCTCCATTTACATTGTATAATTACATTGGATTTACACGCGTATGCAACAGTTCTGCTGCACATTCTGTACAAATCTAATAACAAATAGATTCTATTGGAACAAACACATGACGTTACAAGACAATGATACATTTTCATATCGTTGCACGATCTTTGCAACAATTTCGTATTGTCGAGCGTGTCGCAAACAATCGTGGGTATCAAACGGAATTACATCCTCATTAATTTTCTGAGGAGAATTGCGACAATCGTAATTCGATTTTGGCCAGTTGGGAAATTGTTGAAAAATTGAACGCCCTTATCTATCAAACGCAGATCGAATAAACCATCATTAAAGTGCCTTTTGAATGAACTTTTATCTAAAACTTCATTTAATAATGTGAAAATGGATAAGCGAGAAATTCTGTTTATTGTTACCTAATGTAACGTGTTACATCGACAGATAACGAAATTTATTGTGATCTAATCTTAACATTATTTACATTGATAGATAATGAAATTTCCCGTATCGCGAAGCTATTTCTATTATAGTATATTATATTTTAATTTGATATTAAATATTTAATTTAATTTCCATTACTTATACACATTTATTGTGTGTATATTCTAAACTAATTGTACATAAATTATTAAATTAATATATCAAATAACAGCTAAACTTTTCTTATCTAATTATACGCGTCTTAAAAAAATATTATTCTTATAAATCTTAGAAATTTTAATAATAAGAAATATTTAAAATAACTACATAGACTTGTATCTTCTAATTATAAAGCTCGAGATAAATTTATATATATGTGATTTCTATTGCTTTAGATTTAAATAATTTTATTATGAACGAATTCACTGTTATTTTACATAAGTAAAATGTAAATATTATTATTGTATTTGTTACATAAAAATATACGAATCTTCAATAAAAATAAGTGATAAAAGCAAATGATAATATGTTCAACTTTAAAAGGTTATCGAGAAGAATTCAGCAGACATACCAGGCATACTGAAAGTAGCACGCAGGGGCGTTGCTCTCATAAATTAGCATATTGAAATATGCCTAAACGTTTATCTCATTCAAATAAACACATAGCTGCACTATTATCTGCAGATTCTGCTTTGTTCGAAAATATTATTTGTTTCAAAGTATCGACGATGACGGCGGCTTCTTTGTCAATTGATAAATAGAATAATCCCCTTACAAAGAGCGAAAAAAATATCTCACAGTTTTTCTTTCTGAATCATCATAGTATGGCATGTCAAGCATAATAGCAGATAAGAATGTTATTTTGTCCGAATGGAAGTAGCAATCATTAAACGCACTATATGAATATTGCTCATCATACATAATTATTCGGTTTGAACTGACAAAAGATGCTTCCAAAATGATATGTATACATATATATATGGATAAAATAAGATAAACAAAAGAGAGATTAAGAGAAGAAGATCAGCTCAAAGAAGTTTTATCTTCTTAACATACTTTTAGCGAAAGAAACGCGGATAGTTTTTTATCTAAAGAGATTATTGTTATTTGAAGTCAATAAAGATATCAGTAAATAAAAGATAAAAGTAATAAGATTGAAGGATTTAATTTTTTGTTATTACACTCACATTTTTTATGATCAATTCACTGAAACATTTCGATAACGAGAGACTTCATCCAAAAAAAAATAATTTGGAATTTGATCTCAATCGTTTCTTCGTTTCACGCAGTAATACGTGTCAGTGACGAGATTACAGGGTAATGTGCGAAAAAAAGCCACCCATCCAAGAATTTATCTAATAAAGATATAGGGTGACGTCAAATAAAATCATTTGTTTACCGGATGTATGACCGGCAAAACTGAAAATGAACAAGCTTTCTGGACTTTGGATTTCGTTCCTGATACTCGTACCTATAATTGGCCGCATTCTAGCAAATCTATAAATTGGCTTCTTTTACTCAATGACGCAGAAGAATATAATTTGCAAGAAATGCGAGATTTACTCGTTTTAATCGCACTTCTTGCATTACGCTCCTTTTCTCCTTTCTTCCAAGATCTAAGTATATTTTATCATCTTTTTGTTTTAAACGCACATATAGAAAGTGTAATTAAAATAAATATAAATCTATAATTTATCAACTACATTTAGTTTTAAAAAATTATAATTTACATCTACATTTCTCTTTAATTATAATAAATTTTAATAGCTCTAGTTTCAATAAAATATTAAAATAAAAATAAAAAATTTCATTTGCTGTATAAAAAAAATTACATTCACAAGTCATATTACATAATATTTTGTTGCAAAATTATTTGTTACAGATAAAAAAGTAAATTTACATTTTGAATAAATTATATTCACAAGTAAATGTATTAACTATCTAGATCGTATTTAAAGAAGTCGTTTTAAACAAGATCGTATTTAAACAAGTCTACTAATCAGTTTTTCATATTAATAAATAGTGATTCATTTCAAAAGTTGATTCATTTTATTTTCACACTGTATTAGCATTTAGACATGTAATAATGCACGTAAAATTAAAACTTATCGTGTTTGTTAGTGACT